ATACTCATAGAAATCATATTAATTTTTCTATTTTTTTAAATTTATAATTAAGTATTAAATTTTATTTTTAATCTAATTTATTTTGAACTTTATATATTTTTCTGCACAGACTCAGATTAGATATTATTTTTTATTGTTTTCTATTTCTTTCCAGTAATAAATAATTGCATCTTAATTTCATTTGAAAGTGGCTTTTAAGTTGAATATGCTTGTAAACATGACCATAAACATCAATTTGTATATAATTTATTTAAGCTATTGCTAAATGCAAAACACATTTACACAATTTGCCTTTCTAGTTTTTCGCTAACCGCTCAACTATCTAATTGACTGTGACTGGCACACACACACACACACACATACAAACACACTTTGCTAGCTGTGTTGACGTTCTGAGTTGTCTTTTAGACCAAGCAAGTGGAAAATAATTGTGCCGTGTCTGATGGAGTGGGAAAACAGTTCCCATGGCCAACAAATGCAGATCATCTTGCACGTATCATTACTGCTCATCATCAAGTGCATGATGGCAACGGTTTTTGGCCAATTGTTTGGGCCAACTGTGAGTTATTAGCAGTCTCATGATGCAGCACCAGCAGCTATTGTTGTTGTAGGGCGTTGTTGTGAGATTGCCATCAGTTAATCATAGCTGTGACAACAGCAGTCGCAAAAGGCACAAAAAGCTAATTGCAAATTGGCAACAACATGAGAATCTATGCTAGCCATTTGTCATCAGTTAACAGCCTGATATGCTAACTAATACAGTTTTACAGTATGCAATCTGTAATCTGGAATCTGCAATCTGCATACTGAAATTGTTACTGTTGTGGCTTGTCTACAACTTGTCTACAGATTTCACTACACTCAGAAAAAAATATATTGAAATGCACTGACTTTTGGCGCCAAGAGTAGCGCACTTTATTTTGCAGAAAATTTACCTTATTTTTGAGAAAACTTGAAATTTATCTAAGACAAACCGAAAGAACGTTTTCTGAAAAAGTCAGCATAATTTTTGAAATTTGCTTTTCTAATTTAAAATAATTTGTATTATTTTTCGAAAACATTTGTATGATTCAGAGAAGACTTATTGATTATTGAAATATCAGTGCCAATTTTTTCTGGGTGTCTAATAGACGCTTGTAAACACCAAACACGCCAAGCGGCACAATGGCTGGTGACTAACAATTTGCTGTCAGCAGCCAGCTGCCACAAGCCACAAGCCACAAGTGGTTAAGTTGTTGATCTGCAGAGCTGTGAAGCTGTAAAGCAGTTAGCTCTTTGGCTGCCCAGATAAAAGAAGGAAAAAAAAAGTGCTGCAGTTGCTCTTCAGAGGCGGCAGCATCTGTATAATTTAGCCAGGTCTCTTTCATTTTGGCCATAATTTAGCTTCGACTTGCATTACACAATCGTGAGCCGAAGTCGAAGTCGGAGTCAAAGCTAAAAGTTGCGCTTTGGTAATTAAATTCGTTTTCTTAAGCAAAGATGCGATGCCGCTGAAGACTTTGATTTACACTTGCTCACTAAATGCTAGTCAAAGTTTTTATTTTTATTGTTTCTATGCATTACATAATTGTGTGCAAAATGTTAATGTTGTTTTTTGTTTGTTGTTATTGTTGTTGCTGTTGCTGTTGTGGGGGGCTGCTGTTTTGTAGCTGCTGGCCAACAAAATTTATTAGCTTGTAAACAACTTTGCTGTTAGCCCGGTGCGTATGTTGTATATATATATATATATATATATATATATATATATATATATATATATATATATGTATGTATAGGTGTATTTTGGTGTGTGTGTGAGTGTGTGTGCTGTGTGTGTTAACTTTCTCCCATTGTTAGCATCTTTCTTTTTGATTATGCGCCAGTTTTCTTTCACGTTGTGTGCCATCAATGGCATTTGTTTTGGCTTTGTTTTGGCCAAATCTTTGCAGCTTGCTTTACATTTAACTTGACATTTGGCCCATTGTTCACGCTTGGCTCTTCTGCACTTCGATTGTCCGGCTGGTCAGCGAGCGGGCGGGCGGGCGGGCGAGGTGAGGCATTCATGTGTTAATAAATCCATCTATTGCCCAGCTACCGAGCTGAGCGAACCAGCCACCGGCACCAGGTGTAGGTCAGTTCATTATGCTAATCCACGCTTGACCAATTCGCGATAATTTCTTTGAGCTTTTGGTCGTGTTAAATAATCGTTTCTTTTTCTTTTTCTGTTTTTATATTTATTTTATGCACCCATTCGATCTGTGACAATGTAGCATAATTAGCATAAGATGTCGTAATATTTAACAACGTTTTTTATTCAGATGCAGACTCAATTTGAAGTGCATACAACTACTGCCAACTGCCTATTTATATAAAGTTGAAGCTGGATTTAATAGTTTCAATTAAAAGATGACGACGCGACGTCTGTCAAAATGTGTGTCGGCAAGTGCTGTGCCAGAAATCACACACTAAGGCGACACAGCAGCAACAACAATAGCCATAGTAGCAATAAAAACAAAAAAAGGAAAAAATATGAAAACAAAAAAAAAGGTTAAACAATAAAAACAATAAACAAAAAAATGAATTTAAAACAAAAGCATTTTTGCCGCAAGTGTTGTCAAAAGACTTTGCACAGCTTCCGTTTTAGACGTTTGACGAATCAGCTCGTTTGACAGCTACAACGATGTGACAACGATGCCATAATGATTATCATCTCAACACTCACACACTCACACACACCCAGCCTGTGTGTGTATATGTGTCAGTTTGATCTGTGCAATCTCAGATTGCGCATACGCCATTTGATCCACATACAGCAAGATCGCATTTTTCGGCTTTGTTTATGTGTGCGAGTTTCACTTTATATGCGATTATTGCTCAATTATAATAAATCAAATGTCGGCGCCCACAATGCTGACATTTGCAGTCAATAAAACTTGCTAGAAATACTTTTTTTCCCCACCTTTTTTTTTTGAGAAAGTAAAGCACTTCTTTTTTTTGGGTTTTTGTATGGCAATGCCAAATGTCAAATGCCAGCAGTGCCTGAGCCGCAGTGGGGCAGTGGGGGTAGTAACCGAAAAAATATTTTCACTTCCACATTGAGTTGCCCGTTGCCAGTTGCCAGTTGGTAGTTGGCAGTTGCATTGGCAGTTGGCCGAGACAGCTGAGTGGGCGTTGCTGCAGCTGGCTTAGACACAACTTGTTGTGGGTTTTTTTTTTGGTTGTAGTCCCATCATCCATTGTCATATAGTACTCACTTACTCACATATATATATATATATAGTAGGAGTTGCGCTGCTTGAATCATTGCTCTCTCTTTGTACTCTCTCTTTCTCTCTCTCTCTCTCTCTCTCTCTCTCTTTCAACGTTTCAATTATCTAGTACAATATAACGATTAAAATCTCAATCTTAAGTGTGAGTTTAATTTTTTATCAGATAATATCTTTTGTTCCGAAGTTTTCCCTTTCATCTTGAGTATTGTGTTTTCACTCTTTAAAACTCTTCAGAGTTCAATCAGATTCATATAAAAAGTTAATTGCTTAATCCGAAAGCTATATTTAAATTTTAATAAAATTGTTTCATATTCAACCTTTCAAAATACTGCTTAAAATACAAAATAAGCAACTATTATTTGAACAGCTTTTGACTTTTACAACGCATTAATCTTTAAGCAAGCTGCAAATTTGTATTAAGTTTATCATATTAAAAGTTTTAATATCTTAGGCACTTTTCTACATATTATTTTCTTATCTTTGTGTTTTTGATTAGCCAACATATTCATAATAAATTAACCACAATTAGTGAACCGATTATGATATCTTTGCTAGATTTCTTCACGCTTTTGGTTTCAAAAATATCACAAAACTAATCAGCACTCAAATTAATAAAATAGAGTAAAAATAATATTATTGAATGGACTATTATTCAGCGTTCAAAGTTATTTTCTATTTTATTACAAGTTGCGCTGATAAGGGGCTTTAGCCAGGGGTCAATTTAGCACTCATCAAATTGAGGTCAAAGTTTGCGTTTAGATCTTGTTCATAACATTTATTCAATTGCTGTTTATGAATTGCGTTAAGTTGCACAAATAAAAACCAAAACATTTATTAAATTTAAATAGGGGCCTTCTGATTGCCTTGTTGTGATCCGTGTGATTTATATTGTATTGTATAACTTTTGATAATTATTTAAATCTACTAACTTATTACTTAGCCAAACAGTATCGATCATTATTGGCATTATTGGTGTTTTATTTGATTAAATCAATATCACATAAATTGTATTTATGAGCATTGTTTTCAGCCACACAATGCGAATGCTCACTGTACAGTGTGTACACAATTCGTTGACTCACCTGCATTGTTGCTCGTATATTGTTGAAATGCAAATTGCGACTGTTGAAATTGAAATTCAAGTCTGCGCTTTGGCGTAACTTTCACGGCTACATACGTGTGGCAAAGTAGTCCGTCGCATCGATTTGACTGACACAGATAAATTTCGATTAAGACACAAAACTAAAAGCCACAAAATTGAAAAGATGTGTGTGTTGTGCCTACTTTTGTTTTGCTCCCATAGAGTGCCTTGCCTTTAACCCATCAAGTTGAGCGGAACGAGATGTGGTCGAGTAATCAACTTGACATTGACCCAATGCCAAACACGGACTCAAGACACGTCCGCACTTTGCTCAGCTAATTTTTGCTCGTCCAAAAAACACTTTTCGGCTGTTGATGTTGATATTTGTTTTCATTGCCTTTTTAATTTACCACTTTTGGGCATTCACCAAAATTTGCTTGCTGGATTTTTTTTCTTCTTTTTTTTTTGTGGTAAAAATGTTTACTTAATATTTTATTTAACCACATATGATATATATATATATACATATATAAATCGTTTTTTGGGGGTCTCGACCTTGCGAACGTAACAAAATTTTTAATTAAAATGGGCAAGCAATTATATCAGCAAATGTAAATAAAAATCAACTAGAAATGGTTAAAATAAATTAAAGCGGCCTTTTTGATTTGCAGTTGGCGCTGTTCGCAGTTGGAGCAGCTGTCGGCGCAGCCACAACGAAGCCAAAAACCGAATCCAAGCCCAAACATGAGCCGGCAATCAGCCAATCCACCAAGAAGACCACGCCCACAACCGTTGCCAGCAGCAAACCAACGACAACGAAAACAACAGCAACAGGAACAACAACAACAACCCGTCAGTCGAAGGCTCTGAAGTCGGTGGTCGGCGAGAATCGCGGCAAGCGCACCCTGTACAACTTTGGCAATGCGGGTTATCTCTATCCGGAGGTGGCCAGTCGGCGTGCTGGCTACGTGGACAACTACTATCCCCAGTCGGGCTACTACAATGGACAGCAGGCAATAGGTAAATGCTACTTGGCTGCACTTGGCTCCATTTTACAACAAACTCATCGTATTTTTTACAGCGCAATATCCGAGCAGTTATGGCGGCGCCTATGCGCCATATCCGCAGTATCTGGAGGCACCGGAGCCCATCATTGAGATCATCATCAAGGATGCGAATGAGACGCTGGCCGAGGAGCCACCGCAGCCCCTCGTGACGAAGAAGAAGCGCAAGAAGGAGAAAGTGCATGTGTTCTATGTGAACTACAAGAAGGATCAGAACAACAAGCTGCATCTGGAGTCACCCATTGCCTCGCTGAACAACGATGACAACGACGAGCCCGAGGAGGAGGAAGAGGAGGAGATCATACAATACCCGGTTACACCACTGCCACCACTCAAGGCAACCACGTTGCGCACCATCATCCATCCCGACTCGGAGAAGTATCACAGCAACAGTGGCATCCATGTCTCCTTCGGCGAGGAGAGCAAACATCAAAGTGGCCACATCCTGGAGGAGCACAATGCGGAGAGCATTCAGCGACAGGTGGTCGCATTGCCCTTAACCAATACACGCGCCGACTATGGACGCGAGAGCAACTTTGCACGTGGCGGCTCCAGCTCCAATCAACTCTTTGCCACCAGCAGCAGCAGCAACTATCAGCAACACCAGCAGCAGCAGCTGCAGCAACAGCAGCAACACCATCACCATCAGCAGCAGCAGCACCAGCAGCAACAATCGTCGCTGCATTTTGCTAGCCAGCAACAGTTGCCCACCCAGCACAGCAGCAACTACTTTAGGCCACCCACTGCACCAATCAAACATCAGCAACAACAGCAGCAGCAGCAGCAGCAGACATCGCAGCAACACTTCTATCAGAAGCAGCAACAGTCGACAAGGCCCAGCATAACACAGCAACAGTTGCCCGCAACATCCTCGCAGACCATATTCAACAAGCTGGTGCAGCAATCCCAATTCTATATCAATCACAATCAGCAATATCAGCCACAACCACAGCCACAGCAGCAGCAGCCACAGCAACAGCAATATCAGAAGCCGCCACATAAGCATGTCCAGGTGCCATTCTTCCCAACACCAGTTCCAACCCAGCAAAAAGCACACGAGTTGCCACCGCGTGCCACGCCAGCGCCATATCAGCCCATTAAGTTCCGCCCAACGCCCGCACCGGCGGCACAGGTGAAGCCATTGCAGTTGCCACTCAAGCTGGAAAATGTCAACTATCAGCAACAGCAACAGCAGCAAGCACAGCAGCAGCAAGCACATCAGCAGCAAGCACATCAGCAGCAAGCACAGCAGCAGCAAGCACAGCAGCAGCAACCACAGCAGCAGCAATATCAAACGCAGACAAAACCGCAGCCATATCAATTTGTCAGACAGCCGCAGTTTGTGCAACAGCCGCAGTTTATTGTGCACTCACCCACAGCAGCACCCGACTACTATCAGCAACATACGCAACACCAGCAACAGCAGACACACCAACAACAGCAACAGGAGCACAAATATTCCTCGCACGCTCTCAACTATTTTGATATTAAGCCGTCCAAGGAAACGGAGCTGCTCAAGTCGATACCCAAATTCGAGCAGCACATTACGGAAACGCTGCACAATCCACTGAGTCAGCAACTGGCACATCAGTCATTTGGCTACAGCGGCAATCGCAATGAGGTGATTCATGATATACCCGCACCCAATCTGGCACCACAGGCCGCCACTGCTGCCCAGCCAGTTGCTGGCCATTATATCACAGCCAGCTCCACGCAGCATGCCCAGCAACAGCAGCAGCAACAGCAGCAGCAGCAACAGCAGCAACAGCAGCATCATCACCAGCAGCATTACAGCAACTTTGTTAGTGCAACATCTTCACCGGTTTATGCCGAGTCCACACATGGCCAGAAGGTTATGGTGGTGACACCTGTTCCGCCCACCAGCAGCAGTTATGCCAACTACAACCAGTATTCACAGGCCAACAGCGAGCAGGTGATTCAGGTGCATCCACAGAGCAGCAGCTATGCAGCCCAGCAACCCAGGCAATCCCAGGCAGCAGCTGTTGACAACTCACCCTTCAGTGTGTCCACCTATCACTCGGATGTGTTCAAGGAGCTGCAGCAGCGACAACAACAAGAAAAGCAACAGCAGCAGCAACAGCAGCAGCAACAGCAGCAGCAATCGTCCTATGGAAAACCAAGCAAACCAGCAGTTGCAGCTGCTGCTGCTGCTCCGAGCACATCGTCGGCAGCTCCAACTCCACCAACAGTGCCCAATGGTAAGGCATCGCAGACGCTGCTGCAGCTGCCCGACGAGGTGCCAGACGATCTGCGCCAGCAACTCTTCTCCTCCGGCATACTGAACAACGCGGACATCTCGGTGCTGGACTATGACAAGCAAGGTGACATTGCGCTCGAGAATCTGCCGGCGGAGCATCTGCAGCATTTCTATGGCAATGGCGGCGGTGCCCAGCTGGCCGAGACAAACAAGGTGCTGACCGTGGTCAAGCCCAATGGCGACAAGGTGTCGCTCAGCGAGAAGCAAATCGAACGCGTCAAGCAGAGCAACTCGCTGCCCCAGAAACAGAATCTGGATGTGAAGGTGGTCCGCTACGAAGCCGATCAGGGCCAGAGTGTCAGTGAGAAATATGTGCGCACGGATGCCACTGTGGTGCGACCGGTGGAACTGGCTGGCGAACGTCAGCAATACAATCGCTATTTGCCGCTAAAGATCAACGGAGCACAGTTTCCCATACCCGAGAGCGAGGAGTTGCTGGGCAAGAAGATTGTGAGCGTTGTTGTGCTGGCTCCAGTTGAGGCGCACGCGAATGAGGCACGCAGCAGCAGTGTGGATAGCAAAGAGGTCAAGTTTTTGGGTGGTGATCTGGTCAAGACGCTGGTCAAGAAACCGACCAAGGACAACTTCAAACGCTGGCTGGAAAAGGAATCGCGCACAGACCTCGAACTGCAGTCGGTGGTGCTGCTGGTGGCCAAGTAAGTCAATCAGTCAGAGCCACATACACAAAAGTTAACTGAGTGCATCTCTTCCATATCTTCCACAGATCGAGCGAGTCGGCGGAGCAGGAGATCTTCATGTATGACATTGCGACGGGCAGCGTGAATAAGCTGAATGGCGAACTCTCGAGCACGTTCGTCAATGTGGCCGAGGAGAATGCCAGCAGCGAGGACTTGGAGCATGCGGCCACACTGGACCCCAGCTCGCTGGAGACCATGATGCATTTGCGTCGCAGATAAAGAATAAATCAATCGAATATCGCCTCGAACATCGCCGCAAATCGCACACACAACATGCCATTTAGATACTCGACTCGACCTAGAAATGTGCCCATGATAAATAGATATCCTCGATGCACTTCTATTTGATCTAAATTCGTTTTTTTGGGTTCCCACATTAATTTCGCACATGCAAAACAAAAATCAAAAGAAATTCACACTAAAAATGGTTTTATTTATCGCGGGTCATTCACAGTGCATGCATATTCCTTCTTGTAGTATTTCAATGTTGTACATATTCTGATGATTATTTCATAATTTAAGCTAATTTACGTGAATAATAAAAATTTAAAAAAAATTTTAAACAAAATTATCGAAATTGTCATATTTGAAACGGCTAAAGCTCTTTAACAGTGCATTAACAGTGTCTTTTTCGGGGTTGGTGTCTTTGCTAAGTTAAGCTTAAAGCTTTGCAGCTGCTGCTGTGCTCAAGCTCTGTTGAGCTTTAGACCAAATGCTGCCGAAAGCAACTTGTAATCTGTCTTTAAGCTAAACATGCTGGCGACTCAACATTTAGGCCAAGGTTAGCAGCTAGCACCATAGCAACAAGAAGATTAACACATACACACACATCAGGACAAGATATTAACAATAATCGTATGCGCATACGTGACCTATCAGAGCTGGTGCTGGTCCATTGGCTTTGAACGGACGTCGGCTAATGGACGACGTGACCAACGGCAATCAAAGAGCACGCAAAAGTAATTGGCTTAAGCAGTGCGCGCTCTTTCAAGACTCTCTCTCTCTCCCTCTCTCTCTCTCTTTCTTCAGCTCTCTTTTGGCTGCGTGTGCTCTTTGACAGTTGTTTGGCTGGTTCGCTTGCTACTTTTGGGCATGGCCATATGTGTACATGTGTGTGTGTGTGCGTGTGTGTTTGTGTATTTATGTTGGAAGTGTAAGTGCAACAAGTCGCAGCCAACGGCTATAATTATGTGCCGTTTATTTTTAGCGCACAAGCTGCACAACAACACCAGTTTGGCCAGACATCCAAACAAAAACAAAATCAACAATAAATAGCCACAAATGACGATAACAAACAACTAAAATACAAATGCAGCGGGCAAATGTGGCTTGGTTTTTTATTGCACTCCACAAAACCGAACATACCGGCTATAATGTTATTGTTGTTGTCGTCGCTGTTGTCGTTGCCGGATCGATTCAACAGAAGAAAAAACACGTACACATGCATGAATAAGTATGTGTTGTGTGTGTGTGCGTGCAGTGTAAACGGTGTAAAGCAGCTGTGAGTCAGGTCTTCTTCTTCTTCTTCCCTTACGCAATGGGCGATCGTTTTGGTGTTTTTCGAATTTCGGTTTTTCAGCTGTTGCCAAGCGACGATTGACTAATTGAAATGTAAGATTTTTATCTCCGATTAAACACAATATTTATATATTTTTCAACATATGTTTGATTAACAATCTATTGAAAGGTTTGAGCATAACATTTAGCACATTTTTCAAATTGATGTTTCTTTTTGTCGTTTGAAACGGTAAATATTAAATCAACTGGCATTAAAACCATAAGATTTACGGCTATTTGTGGGCATATTGATTGGAAACTCGTTTTTCAACATTCAGTTGATATTTTTAAAGTTCAATTAGCGGCGAAATCATATTTCCAAATTATCACATTTTAGCTTATTTATAGTTTAGACAAGATGACGACTCCATTTGGCATTTCCTATATTATTTATTAATTGTGTTATTTATCTACTCGTCTATTCAGTTTTCTTAAGTTTATTGTTATTTTGAGCAAGTTTATTAAATATTAAATTGCCATTTGACTTGAAATTGAATATTTAGTTATACACGTAATGAAATACGCGTTTAAAGTTTTCGTGTGAATAGAACTGATGTCCAATGTCCAATGCATTTCGATTCCTGCTCATCACTCATAGCATACATACATACATGTGCATGTATTGGTACACAACACGTACGCTACGTGCATATGTTAGTTGAGCTGTTTTCGATTTCTGACAACGCCTTTTGCTGTAATTTTCGTATTCTGCTTCCCATGCATGCGCTTCATTTTTGATTTTTTTTCGCTAAGCTTTTTTGCCGACTCGTTTCAAAATTGGGTTACAGAGAGCCCAAGACCAAAGCCCCATAACCAGCGAGCAGCCTGCAAATACAAAGAAAGCAACGTAAATAACAATGCAAAAATCCGTTTGACGCCGTAAACTCAATGAGTCAGAACTGTTGCAGTGATTGCTAAAACAGTAACAGCAGCAGCAGCAACGGGTGGAGATTGGATTGAGCTTCGATTTAATTTGTGTGCAAAAGATTTCGATTTCTCCTCTTTTTGTTTTGCTTCTTTAAGCGTGTCTGTTTTGTTAGCTGATTTGTAACTTTATCGTCTGCCGTAGGAGTATGTTATTGTTGTTGTTGTCGTTTTTATTTCAGTTACATGCGAGTTGTTTACGATCAGCTCCGTCAAGCTGAAGAGAGTTCGAATTTGACTTAAGAGAGAGTTGGAGAGAGAGCTTAAGACTTCGTTGCTCCAAATAGCGGATCGGATAAATAGTGATATCAGCATTCGAGTTACTAAATGGCTAAATGAAAATTAATAAAACATTTATGCAAATGTCTCCAAATGTGGTAATAACCAGCAATTAAATAAAAATATATAACACACTGAAGTGATTGCAGCTGTTTTCAAATCAACAAATAAATTTAGTCAAATTAATATTGTGAGATCTTAATTGCATTAATCAACTAACCGAACTGCCTCTTCTGCTGGTAATAAAGCAAGTGTTAGCTTGAAAAAAAGCCAAGGGGGCAACACTGTTACCCATGCATGAGTCGTGAAGCATCGTTGTCGGGCATCGCTCAAAGCTGCGCTCAGTTCGGTTCGATCATTCGTCGCAGTAAGTCCAACTCGCGTCGTGGTCGAGAGTCGAGGGTGGCGCAGAGCTTGGCCAAGTCACAGTCTCCTCACCTCTCTCTCTCTAAAGAAATAACAAAAAAAAAGGGCGCGCGAGTGCGTTAAAACTAATTTCTAAATATATTTGTGTGTTAATACCAATTTGTGTCTGCGTTAATTAATGTCGTGAAGTTGAACGAATTATGCAATTGGCCTCTTTGCCAAGTTGAAAATCAAATGAAACTGTTTTTTGTAATGCGAGAATACAAAGAAAAGTGAAGCTGACGCAAGGCTACAAAGGCTACAGCAACAATAGCCGAACAACAAGCAACGGCACTCAAAAAAAAGCCGTTTTAAAACAAACACAAATACAAATATAAAGTGTAATAACTGCAACTTAAGACGTCCACAGCCAGACAGACAGAAAATGGCGCCTGCAGCGACTGCGAACATTTGCGTCAGCTGCGCACGCCAACGCCAAAGTCGACGCAGCGCCGGCGCAGCAGCAGCAGTGGCAACGGCAGCCGCTGGCAGCAATGCCATATTGCAAATTTATTGCGCCTGGGCGCTGATCACACTGCTTACAGCCAGTGTTGCCATTGTGCAGAGTGCTTCGGTTTCCTTTGGTTAGTTATAATGTATAAGATCATATCTACTTTTAGATCGTTTTCTCGGAAATACTGTATAATTATATGAAAATTGCTTTTTTTTTTGGTTTGATAATTGAGTTCTTCCCCTATCAAAAGCAAAAAAATGTCGTCTCATGTATATTTCGCGCGAACTCGAACTAATCTCCAATTTACCAGTCATGAATACTCTCGTATTTTTTTTTCGCTATTTTTTGGATACATTCTGAAGTTACTGCGATTATTTCTTGGCATGGTCGTTTACACAATTTGAATGTGAATGATTTGAACCACTGTCATTTTTTGAGTGCGCTTTTTACTCTGTTTGTTTTTGCTGCGACAATTTGTGAACGTGAACCGTAAACCGGTTCGCTGGTGGGTCCCCCAGACGGAGTCCAGTCACTTGATTTTTTTTTTTTGTGCACATGGCTTTTATTATTTATTTATGTGTTTATTCATCTTTTCGTGTGCTAAGCGGGTTATTGATATTCTTTTTGTTTGGTCATTTATTATTGTAAAACTGAACTACAGAACTATGAACACAGTACATGAGTTTTTTAATTGTTTATTTTTCCTTTTCTTTTGGGCGCGCTTTTAAGTCTAGACGCAATAACAATAAAAATCATTTCAATAAACACGGAAGAAACGCTCTTTAAGCAAACTGCACATGTGAAAGTAAATACAAAAACAAAAATAAACATTTTATTTAAATTACAAGACCTAAAAAAAAAAAGCAAAAGCTGAGCCAGAACAAAAAAAAAAATATATATAAATAAAGTAAAGAGCGCTGGCAGACGTCGACCCCATTGTCATTGAAATACAGTTATGGCAATGGCGAGAGCGCAAAGAACAAAGCCAGCGTTGGAGTTCAACAGTTCAGCAGTTGCCATTTACCGTTACCCTAGTGCCCTTCCATTTTTGCGTTTCTCTTCCCTTTCCCTGGTTGATGTTTAACAGGCGCCGCTTTTAACCCAGTTCCGTTAAAATTTAAACATTAATTTGACGTTACTTTCTGGAAATATGCCAATTGCAGTTGTTGACGAAGAGCATATTTGAGTGAATGAATAAATCTTAATCATTTGATGTAGCAGAAGAAGAAGAGGAGGTATGCATTTACGCTATGCAAATTTAGTAAGAGGAAAGAAAAAACAAAGCACTCCTTAAAAGCAAATGCGAGAAACAAGAAGAACTGCTCAATAAACATATTAACACATACCGTCTATAGGTATATCTATATATGTATATGTATATGGGTTTACATATGAGACATGCATGTGTGTATGCGAACCGGTTACTGAATTAATTTGCATATACAAAACAAAAAACAAAAACAAAAAATCAAAAAAAGAATAAAGCAACAAATAACAAACACACGCTTGGATTCGATTCCCATACATCAATATGCTGCCAAACTGCTAGATTTCTGTTTATTTCTATCGTCAATTTTTTTTTTTTGGGTATGTCATTTAGCAAGAAGTCGTCACTGGCTTTTTATCTGTTGATGTCATAAGAGTTCAGTGTTCAATTAGGTGCAACACCCGCCTACCGGTTAACCTCCCTGCAAGTTGTTCAACTTTTTGCCCACAAAATGCAAATAAAAAATCAACCAAAAAAAAAAAAAAAAAGGAACCACTGCAAAAAAAGCTGACAAAAACCAAAGGAAGAGTGAAGAGTGAGCGAGTTGGCTTTATTTGTATAGGCAGAGGCTTTCTCTGCGTGCAGTGTGTGTGTTCGTCTGTGTTGTGTGTGTGTGTGTGTCGAGAGATGGTGCATAGCGTCAACAAGCGCTCAATTAAAATGCAAATTGACCGTTATTTGAGCTGGTTGTTGCCCATGCTCTCTCCTCGCTCTCACGCGCTCTCTCACGCTCTCACACCTAAAATGGCGACACTTGAAGAAGGTTGTTCTTGCTTTATTTTGGTTTTTTCTGTTTTTCTCTTTTCTTTTTTTTTGTTTTTGTTCAGTTGCTGCTGCTACTTTTAACGCCCAACGCCCACCACAGCAGTTAGACTGTCTAAAGTGGTGCAAACTATTTTGGCCACAAGCTTCCTGGCTAGCAACACACACACACACACACGCACACAGCTAGCACTTATTTTGTTGGTAATTTTTTGCTAATTGCTAAAATGGCCGCTTTGATTTATGTATGTGTCCGTTAGAAGGCAGCATGCGACTTGGTTGAGTAGTGTAGTGTCTCTGTGTGTGTGTGTGTGTGTGTGGAGTCGTGTTGAACCGGCTTCAAGAATGGGCAATGCTCGGTCACGCTGCTGTTGGCAAAACTGTGGCAGCAACAGTTGCCGTTAGCCTGCATGCAATAATGTTTTTGCTGCAGCTGCCGTTGCACGCAATGCCAAGCAACAACAACAATAGCAACAACAACAATAGCAACAACAACAACAACTGGGTACAGTTAAAGCAGAATGCATGTCAAGTTCTTAACTGTTGCTATGTGCTGTGTGGCGGCTCTTCAAGCTGTTGTCTTGTTTATAGTACAATTTATTTTATTTAGTTGGTTGCTACTGTACAAACAGGCTAACGACATCAACGACAACAGCAACGACAACAGCAACAAAAAGGAACATTCGCTTGACCTATAAGCGAGATTGGCCAACAGGAATTGTAGAGCTGTCCACTCATTCGTTTATTTGTATGAGTGTACGAGTGTGTGTATTGTGTGTGTGCGGGTCAGTGGTGTGTGCTTGTTATGGGATTCTGGTTGGCGTGCGGATGGGGAAATGCACTTAGCCCTTTCAGCTCTGACTTTGATAGTTGACCCAATTTTCAGTTAGCAAATAAAAATAAACAAAATTACAAACATTGCTTTTTGTGCAGCTTTTTTCTGCGTCAAGTGCATGCTTCTCCCTCTCTCTCTCTCCCCCTGTCGCATTCTTTGGCTCTCTGAATTTTAGTGTCTTCATGTTGCGTAATTTTTGAACAACAACTTTTTTTTTGTATTCAAGTACTTTGCCGCACTCGAGCAGTGCTTGAGCCCTGTGCGTAGTTTTTTGTATGCAACTGTATGCAACAGTGCGTAATTATGATGAGTGAGTGTGCAGCATGCCACAACGCCACACGCCGCATGCTGCATGGCCACATGGCCGCATAGCCACATGGCCACATGAATTTGCAATGCCCAGGCGTGGCCACTCCAAACCAAACCTGATGCTTGACAATCTACACCCCAAGTGCTGCGCTTAACACATGACCGAACAGGCCCAAAACAAAGTCCAAACAAAAACAGCTGCCCGCCTCACTGGCATCAACGAGGCCAGAACTACACACATGCACATGGATCTGAGTGTGTGTCTGTTTGCGTGTGTATGTAAGTGGTGTGTGTGTGTGTGTACTCATTATTGTCGGCACCTGTGGATCAACATTGACTGCCCTTCAGCCAAGTTTAGGCCCTGTTCAAGTGACCGCCACAGAGCTTCTCAATTATGGCCAGAATACAATACACAACACACTCATGCAATTTGCTTAACTATTTTCAAGCTGCTGCTATAAACAATTGAAAAACACACAAACACAATTGAAATGTATTTGTACTATTGGCCAAAATTTGTCGTGTGCAAATATTAAATGTGTTATTGCCCCGAAATAAACATAATTTGTAATTTTCAACTTTCCAAATTGAAAATAATGCAGAGAAAACTGGGAATTATATGAAAAGTCATTCATGTTCTGCTCTAGAAATTGAGACAAATTATGAACGGCACAATTTATAGCGAAAATCAAGTGAAATTATAGCCCTTTCTTTGCATTGGTTCGCTGAGCTCTCGCCGGGCTCGCTGCCTGGCTGGCTGCCTGGCTGGCTGCATTGGCTGCCTGGCTGTCTTTGTAGTTGTTACTGTTGTTCTCCACTTCTAACCTCTACTGTCAAAACTGCCCCTTCCCCAACCATAAACCCCTCTCCACCCCAAGTGGCGCAATCCCAACCCACGCATTCACATCACAGTCACAACCACTCTGGTTGCTGTTGCAGCCAAGCACAACACTCATTTAACTTGTTGTATATATGTGTCTGTGTGCATTTGTGTATGTTAGCTTTTAACCCAATTAGCTAAAGCTGTAACTGAAGCTGTGGAGTTCAGTGGCATAAGCCTCAACTTTTATAGCTGCCAGTCATTGGTCAAGACAATAACACAAAAACACCACACAGCACACATCGTACACACTTAGTGCAACCTCATTGTTTTGTAGTGCTTATGGGCTGAAATGATTACTTATGGCTCAATTTATCAGTCAGTAGAGCTAGGTACGAACAAAGTGTTATTTCTGACGCCCAAATGACTTTGAAATACGTCAATTTCACAATTCATACATTTAGCAGAGTGTCGTAGAGTGGGTGGAAAATTGTTTAATCTTTCGATTTGAATCAATATCACATTTATTTTCTCAATTCATAGTTTTCAAGAGCAGGCACAAATTATATTTGAACACTTTATTTCTTATATATATTATAATTAAATATTCTAATCGATTTTATATAAATTAAATAAACTAATTAAAACTTGCAGAGTTTATATATAGTTATTTTGATAAATTCAAAAAGGCTTTGCATACATCATGATTTATGCCAAACACATATTTAAAATTCAAAAAAAGCGAAAAATTTAATTGAATTAACAGTCAAAATTGCTAATAAACTTTTTTATTTCAATATATAAAAACGTACACTTTGAAAAGATTGCCATCGAAAACAATCATTACTCTTTTTACGATTCAAAGTGCAAAGTTCAAAATTCAAAGTCTTCAATTCACAACCTTTGCGATTCCACTATTATTAACAAATAATAATTTTCAAATAGTTGCCACAGCATACAGCTTGACTACATTTCCAATCTGTGCAGTTTGATCACACAAACTAAGCTCTAAAATGTATTTAACCCCCAAGCAGCAAATTGGCCCCGAAACTCAAAACTCCAGAAAGGGGCTTGCAAAATGCACAACGAAATTATATATATTATTATTACTATCCTATTATTATTATTAATCGAGTTGTGTGTTAAACAATTACGAATCGTAAATGCAATTTTGAGTGCACTTCTGTGGCGCCTGGCCAGAGCATTTAAATAATTTATTAAAGTGCAGCACGTGTCCAGCCACTTGGCCATTTATGTCAAGTTCGAAATGTGAATTAGCTGGCCGAGTGCACACATTTAAAGCGACACACACACTCACACACTCACACACACATACACACACACACTCATGTGTGTGTTAAAAAAACGAATGCAAATTGTTTCTGCGAATTAAATTTTTAATAGCCCAAATATGAGTTTCAATTGCACAACAAACGACGGACGACAGAGCCAATAATAATAAAAAATAATGTTGCAACAAGTAAAAAGCGCCTACAATATGCAGCTGTGTGTGTGTGTGTGTGAGTCAGTGACCCAGAATATAATGCAAAAGTAGTTTTGCTAGGGCAAACGAATCGGCAGCCAACTGGCAGCATCATTGTAAATACATATTTTATATTTAACACATAACAACAACAGTTATTGCCACAGTGTGCATGTGTGTGTTTTCTCGTGTGTGCTTTATTAATTTAACTAGTGAGCTGTGTGTATCTGTATCTGTATATGTATGTGCAACTGTGTATGTATCTTGTATCTTTAACCTCTGCCGCGCAAAGTTCGAGTGCGAGTGCAAAATAATTGAGCCGCAACTCTTGACGAGCTGCTGCGGCTACTGCTGCTGTGCTGTCTTTATAGGTAGCTGCATGTTATTCAATTATAAAATATATCAAATTAATTGAGTATCAGCCTATCTAGCCATACTATACTATACCATACTATATGCTATGTACTATATACCATGCTATATAGTGGCACTTAATTATTGGCATATCTCTTCACTCTTTCTCGTACAAGTGCTATTTTTAGTGCGTTGTTCAAACTTTGATTGTTACTTAACCCTGAACTCATTAAAAATGCAAATATATTCTTGTGTATTATAACTATATTTCTAATCAGGATCAATGATTTGAAATAGCCATGTCAGTGTGTGTGAACAGTCAAAGACTAAAATAGCTACAGACGTCAAATTTGGCAAATAAGTTGTCGTATATCATGGGCAGAGCTAGTGCACATCATTTGATCGATAATTGCCCTCGTTTCACAAATATCGATAGCCATTAAACCCACAATTTTAATGGCAGATCTTTCAAAATAATGTTATATAGATTTGCATATTATTGATCAACTGGACAAGATCAGCTAAGAAAAATCCAAGTAATAGTTCAAAACGTATTCTCATATTGATCTCATTTATATCAGCATGTTTTTTTCTGGTTACCCAGTTGGTTATAAGAAACCCTAACTCGGTTTAGGGTATCTCGTAGTCGCGCTGACACAACTACTACATTCTTACTTGCTTTTCTCATCTACCGCTTGAAGATTGGGCATGACTCCGTTGCTTACCACTTATTAATGTATCTATATATATATATAGTTCGTATATGTTACAAATTAGCGGTCTTTTGTAAATTTGTGAAGAATTGATGTGGCCGCAGCGCATGTGCTCCATTTATGTGAGTTCAACTTTTACCCAACTCTCATGCAAGTCTATTTTTCTTTCTTGTTTCTTGCAGGTGGCCTGCTGTCGCATCCCACATTTAAGCCATTGTGCAGCGCTCAGCATGAGCATTTCATCGAGAGCGATGGCAAAGAATCTAGTCTCATCATTGAACTGAAACCGGGCACCTATGGCGCCCAGCACGCCTCCTGTTCCCGCATATTGAGCGCACCGCCCAGCTACGGTTTCATAGTGCGCCTCATTTTGCCCAAGCTGCGACACGCCCAGCACACGGACAGTCCCAGCAACGGTCCCGCCTTTGGTTCCAGTTCCACATCCACATCGACATCGACATCCAGCATTATGCCCGCAAAGTCACAGTCCCAGGTCGGCCAGACGACCAACGCCGGCTCAGCGGCACTGACGGGCATGTCCACGCTGATTGAGCGACTCAATGCAACTGCAGCAGCGGCGACCTCATCTGCCGCCGTTGTGGGACGCACCTGTCCCCTGAATATTGTAAGTGGGAAATCATATTGATTGAATGCGGGCATGACCTCTTAATATAAATTGATTAACTGGTGGCCAAGTCCGTTTAGAAGTTGACGCAAACGATTATTGTAGATGCCATGTCAGTCACATAGTTGCCGGTTAAGGGTTAACTGACTTGGCTAAATACAGTTTGCGTGAGTAGAGTTCAGTATATCATTTAAATTTCGATATTTCTTGGGGAAATTCATGCAAATGTCATGGGATTATTTGCAAAGTTGTAAACAATAGTAGAATGTTAGTTATATCCGCTTACAATTGCTGCTAGAGTTAAGAACTCAATAAAATCAAAGCAGTTATATTACCCACAGGGCATTTAAATGTAATGAAAATCATTTCTTGGGAAGCTATTTTCTGGCTTATACTTCATCAAATATTTTTTATTTGCTTTTTACTTAAATTCATTCACACTTCAGCATATCCAATTATTTTACAGAATTTATCAGTTGTTATACCCTGATAAAAATGTTTGAAAAGGTTATAATGACTTTCGGCAAAAGTATGTAACGGGCAGAAAGAACCAAACCCACATAAAGTATATATATTCTTGATCAGGATTGATTATTGTCCAAAATGTATTTTTATATTGATATTTCATTACTCGGCAAGCTTTCTCTGTAAACTTTAGTATGATTTCCGTTTGGAGTACTTCCACACCAGCTTACATTTGGCAATTAAATTTGACAATAAAACTGTTCTAATGTATTTATTAGCTGTGTGTTCGAGTTGTCACGTAGACGAGTACAGCATTCTTAATTGTTTTAGTTTGTGGCTATTCAGCATTCAGCAAATTACATTTACAAGCTAAAAGCATTTGCAAAAACATGTAATCAAATAACAATAATTCAATTAAGCTCACAATTGCTAAATTCCTGATTGATTTTTATCGATAACTTTAAATGATATTTTAATTTGTTGTGCCTCATTGGCATTCCAAGAGCAATATCGAAGCATTTCTATATACATGTATGTAAATATGTCGGTGCATATGTAATTGCTCGTGTTTGTGGGGCCAAGTTCAACAACAGGTGAAAGAACGCAGTTTCGATTACTGAAAGTAATCAACAATTAATCAAACCAGTTAGCTGTTTGCAGCTACTACTTGGGCAAACAGTGATCGTCAGTTATTTGTCATTAATATTGTGAAATGCGATCACACCTCGTCACTCATTAGGAACAAAGCAGTTAATTGTGACGAAGTATTCACCTTTATTTTATGTTTATTAAGAAAAAAACAAGAGACAATAACAATAACAACATTTGCATATGCAGTTCTCGAAAACAGAAGCGAACAAAGGAAACATTTATGCACATCGACAGCAGTTGTAGATACATACACAATAATACCTATACCTGTGCAGATATAGATACAGATACAGATACAGATACAGATACAGCTAGAGGAACAGTAACACGAAGCCGCACCCGCAACTACAGATTGATATCCTCACATGTGCGACTCGCAGCTAGATTTGATGGCTTGGATACTGTCAACGTTTCACAGCTGCCAATCTGCCTGTCCAGCTATCTGTTTGTCCGTCCGTCCGTTTGTCGCCATTGTATTTATGGCATCGCATCGTCACATAGCCAGCAGCAGTCGCAGCAGAAGCAGTAGCAGCAGCAACTGAAAGTGTTGTCTATTTGTGTGTTTTTGAATGTTGCGTTGCGCCTCGACTTGACTCGTTGTGATTCGTTTCGTTCTTTCTGGCCAAATGAGACAAACGTGTTTTACATACACAAAAACCTCAGAGCATCCAGAATGGCTCAAATTGGGCGCGCTTATGCAAATTGCACGCGATTGGATTATATGCATGCGTGTGTGTATATATATATATATATATATATAAATATATATGACGTCGTCAGTCTGACCAGGCCAAATCGACCCACAGCAAACTGCGATGTAGAAACGGGGATGCGAATATGAGTTGTTACTGTGTGTGAATGTGTGTGAATGAGAGTGTGAATGTGAATGTGTGTGTGAGTGCTACCAGAATGAATAACCGCACATGCGGGCGTGCTAACAAAGCCTGGGGGCCCCATTGCTGGGCAATGCGGCAAAAAGTTATGTATAATTCAGTTTGGCTCAATGTCAGCAGTTTGTGCAGTCTATTAATGGCCATAAAGAATATTTTAAATTGACAGCAAAATTAACAGTAATTGGAGACAATTTCAAATGTCAAAATGGCTAGGGAAAACCACAAAATATGTGCAACATTGTGAACACACACACACACACACAAACACACACATGCAATGTCAACCCAGCCGCAAACACATTAGCCAAAGTAATTGCATGAAAACCCAATCAAACAATTACTGCCAGTAGGCGAAAGTACTCGATACTCGTCACTCGTTACTCGATACTCGGCCATGGCATGCCGATGCATAACAATTAAATCAAGTTGCGAGCAACTTGAAAACCTTCCAAATCCAGTCAGTCATAGGCTTGGCATAATCTAGAATTTTAACTCGCTTAACAATAACTTAAAAGTTGCCTCCAACTTTTTGTCAATTTTTGTAGCTAGCACAGAAAAATCTCACACATTTTATGTTGGTCACGGATGCGTGGCCAACAGCCAACAGTCAACAGTCATATAAAGAGAAAAATGTACTCATAAACACACCCATCCGCCCAGACATGCATTCATTCAAATCTAGTTTTCGTATTTGATCTGATAGTTGGCCCAAAGCAAACGGAAGGTGCAGAAATTGGCAGACTAACTCTAATTGCGTTGGCCCAAAGTAAAAGCCTTGAAATGGAACTTGTGCTGCTGCTTGCCTTAACAAAATTAGAGCAATGCCATTAATTATAATCGAATCAATTATCAATAAGATCAAATGAATAATAGATATCATCGATTAATTTAAAATTTAGTTGCAAATTCCAATTACAAATGCAATTAATAAAATTTAAATACAAATTGTTTCGAGGAAACTGATTTATATAAAGCACAATTGTGCTGCAAGCAAAGTTAATTGTTGAAAACCTATAAATTTTAAATGTTTTTTGTTTTGTTTTTGTTTTTGTTTAACATAACGTTGCATATTATGTGCATATGTATATCATTTTGAATATTCTGCACTCGTGATTCGCCGGCATTTGCCTAAAATTAGCAATTTGCTATTCTTTCATTCTTATTTGTTGGGCGTAAATATTTAATTTGCCTTTCTTGTCGTTTCCCATGCCAAATAGTATCTAAAATGCTGATTGTTTATTGTGCACGTTTTTTATTTTTGTTTGCCTAAATAATTTATATCACGTTGAATCGCAGCGCAGTTTTGTGGCTTTTGTTTGTGGGCGTGAACAGCTTTGAGTGCTTTTTATTATGCTTACCTATTGCTACCTATATTTATTTTTTTTTTTTTTAATTTATTACAATTTAGTTGCGTAAATTGTTTGCGCATGTGCGAGCAAAGATTGGAGTTATTTGTTTTAATGCTTTGTTTGTTTCCTTTGTTTGTTCTTGCAGTTTAGCTCGCTGGATCCGCATACGGCTCAGTGGCGCGTGGATCCCTGCCAGCTAGAAGATACCGCACCAGAGATGGAGGATCCGGTGCGTCTGTTTCACGGACGTGTGCGCATCGTTTGGGAGCATGGACAGCATTCGCTCAAGTCCAAGCTGATGATTACGGTGCTGGGTAAAGGGGAGCAGTGCATGAATGAGAACAGGCATCAGTGCTTGAAGATTGGGTAAGCGAAATGCAGACGCCATGTGAAATGCAACTAAATTATTGTTTGTTTTTCTGCAGCGATGAGCCCATTCTGTGCATCTCCAAGGAGCTGGCCTGCGATGGCATACGCCATTGTCCGTATAGCAATGAGTACGACAGCGATGAGGACTATGAGCTGTGCTATAAACAGCGGCGTCCTGGCGCCGGCTCATTGCCCTCGGCACTTGAATCCGATCTGTTCGAGCAGTTCGCACTCGAGGTCTTTCGCAATCTGTTTGCCTATGATGCGCCCACTGCACCCGAGGATCTGCCCCGCAATGCCAGCGACAGCGAGTTAACTGCTGCTGCCAACAACAACAACAACTCGACAACGCAGCTACGCAAAGTCCACACCAAAGACATGAAGAAATCGGGCGTTGGCGGTGGCGATGCCATCGGTTCGCCCAATGCCATCGGTGTGGAGCAATCGCCGGAGTCGGATGCCAAGGCACACGATAATGCCACCGCTGAGAACAATGTGAGCAGCAACGGTAGCGGCGCTGGCAGCGGCTTCACGCGTCGCAACTCGACGCGCACCGGCCTCCACTCGGATCTGTCCAAGTACGGGCCGTGGGGCTATCTAATGCTCGGCATGTTGCTCTGCGGCGGTGCGCTGCTCATCTGCGGCCTCTGGGGTACGTTTAAATACACATTTCTCTAGCCTCCATGTAAGACATAGACATTTATATTTATGTGAGTTTCTTGTTTTTCGTGTGTTTTTCTGTTTTGTTTTTTTTTTTTGTTCGTGTTCGTTTTCGCATGTCATTCAATTTTTTATCTATATCTGCATCGCTGCCTGTTTCTCTAACTGTAACTGTATCTGTATCTGTATCTGTATCTATATCTGTGTGTCTGCATTATGTCTATGTCTATGTCTAACTTTCGCATTTCGTATTTCCCTTTTCTAACTAATTATTTATTGGCAATCCCCCACCTCAGTTTCCTGTTGTCGCTTGAGCTCTCACATTCAATCCATACGTACACTTACAGCATCCGCATCGCAGCACGCGGTTAACAATGAGCGCGAAGCGGCGCTGGCCGCCGCCAATGGAGTTGGCATGGACACCGGCGGCACCGTATCGCCACCAAACTATGAGGAGCTGGATCCACCGCCGGCTTATTCGGTGCTCTTCCCCAATCAGAAGGCCGCCAGCAGTAATACGCTGCATGCGCTAGATGGTGTGGTTGCAAGCACAACAGCCGCAGCAGCAGCAGCAGCAGCGGCAGCAGCAGCAGCAGTCGCAGCCACACTTGCATCCACAGTTACAGCAACAACCAGAGCAACACCAACACCAACACCATCAGCAACTACAACAATAACAACTGTAACAGCAACACCCGAACAGCAACAGCAACAACCACAGCAACAACAACAGGAAGCAGGAGACGAGCGAACAAACTAGGTCTAAGCTTGACAATTAGGTCGCCACAGTGGCGCATCTGGCAAAGTAGCTTAGGTTTAGGTTCCAACATCTTTGACTGACTCTGATGCAATTAGTTTAGCAAATACATTTTTAGTTGTAGCTCTTAAGCGTAGGCCTATGTTAAATGTTTAATTATATTCATACATTTATGTTAACTGGTCAATCCGATCTATCCCAAATACGTCCCAATGCCCGTCGCATGCCAAGCATACGCCGGACAGACAAATCCTACAAACAACATACATAATATAATAATCCAATCCAAACGAATTGTTCAATTGCTTGCAACTTGAAAAATAATACTTTTGCCTACTAAATAAATGATTGTAAAAAAATGTATCGACAAATTATAACAATAACAACGACAAGTCGAATATATTTTGTATCTTTGTTAATGTAAAATTTAATGTGATATAAATTTAAAACTTAATAAAAAAAAAGAAAAACTCAAAATCTGTCTATGTTATTTACTTTCTTCACTTCAGCGAACTACAAAAACACAGTTCATATTTGACATTATTTTCCAAAATAATACTTTCATCCTAAAAGTATGCTCCAAATTTGCTTTTAATTTAAATTGCGTATTGATTTTATTGCGCAGTATAAAAGTTGAAATTATCTACATAAAGAATAATTTAAATTTATTTCTTTTCGTTGATTAAAAAATGTTTTCCCATACTATTGTTTTCTTTACTTCAGCGAACACAAAAGACAGTTTATATATGACATTATTTTCCAAAATAATACTTTCATCCGAAAAGTATGCTTTAAAATTGCTTTTCATTTTAAATAGTCAAATTATTAAAAATTGATTTTATTTCGCAGCATAAAAGTATACATTACTCATCATTTAAAATTGTCTGAAAACTGAAATAAGCCGCATATTAATTGTAATAAAAAATAATTTAAATTTATTTCTTTTCGTTTAAAAATTGTTTTTCCCATATATATATATATATATTATAAAATTGAGATTTGATACTTTTACTTAATTGCTTGCTGACCTGTTGGCTCACAGTTTTACTCACTTTAATTAATACTTACTTGCATATGTACTGAAATATTGTTACGCCGTAAATGATGTGAAACAAAATAGTAAATAATAGTCATTAAATATTTTTTACATCGAATTTTAACATCATTGTTTTTATTCTGATAAATTAAAAGTATGTGAGAATTTGTTTGGATAGTTTAGCCACAACAGCTGGGAGAGGGCAGCAATGATGAAGGTAGGGTAGCAGGAGGGGCAGGGGTCTGTTGCAAGGGCGATTTTCACATTTAAATTGCATGTAGTGCTAAATGAGTTAAGTTTTTGCCATTGTTTCATTTTCATTTTGTTTATTTGCTTGATCTAAGTTTATTTACGCGTTCGTCGCTCTAGATGTGTTTTTAATTGTTTTGTGGTTTCTTTTGTTTTGTTTTGTTTGGTTTTGTTGTCCTTGTTGATATATGTAAGTTGCACTGATATCTTTGCCGGGTTCTCTTAAGTATACATATGTATATATATGTATATGTGTATTTTTCGTATTTTAGTTGGATATTTTTAGCTACAATCGTTCTATGTTTGCATTTTAGGTATGTCCTTTCACGTTTCAGCATTGGGGTACGACCAAATACTCTACATCTGCATTATGGTAAGCAATAACATTCATTCTCAATTGTAATGGTAACTATAACAATATTATACACTAAACAAAATGAAGCATTAAGTTGTTAAGTCAGCCCAGCACAGTTCATCTCAATGCAAATCCTTATTTGAAAGCTGACCTTAACTATGTTGTTAGCTGCTTTTCAGTGACTTGGGCTGCGCTTTAATTACCACCTATAATTATATTTAAAGTTTCGATTTAGTTTAGTCATCGTTATTTCTACTTTACTTAACTGCCAATTTCAGCATTTTCACGTAACTCAGAGCAAACATCCTGTTTGTCTTTTAGTTTAGTTTTCATTTGCTTTGTGTTTTCTTTTTCTTTTTTTTGGTTTTGTTTTGTTTTTTGTTTTTTGTTTTTGTTTTTCATTAAATTACATACTCATAAGATTTGGGCGTTTTCATGTTCATCGACTTCATTCATTTTACATTTGTCTTAACATATAAATGATCATATAACTATTCATATATTCATATATAATATAATATATATATACTAAATATTTTCTATAGATCGTATAATTAAATGGGTGCTCGATGTGTTTTTAGTGTTTGGTGCAGCAAATTTCATGTGTCTGTTGTAGTTGTTGTTGTAGTTGTTCTTTTTGTTATTGTTGTTGGTATAGAAAAACCGCTTACTTATTGACTAATAGGCCATAGGGGTACACTTAGAATAATACACGCTCGTACAATACAATGTAGACGAGTGTAAGTAGTTCAACAACAATGTGGATAGAAAACGATGTCTAATAAAATTTGTCTAGTTATCTTTTTTGGTTTGTTTTTGTTTTGTTCTCGTTTATTTTGTGTTTTATTCAAAAGTCATTAAAAATAAATTCAAATTCAAAATTGATTGCACAATTGTAAGTGCTAAAACTGTTTGGTTTGTTTTCCTTATAGACTACAAAAAACGTTGCTCGTTATTTGGATGCTCAATACTCGTTACAGCTTATACGCTACTCGTTACTCGTTACTCGTTACTCGCTACATTCTCTAGCGCCTAAAACACTATATGCATTTATGTATATTTAATACTTATGCTCATGTAAAATTGGACGCCAAAAACAATTAACAAAAGTAACGAAAAGCCTTACAAATACTTTGAATAAATGTAATTAATTCTCAAGTGCGCTCAAAAGTTGTACGCAAATAAATTCACATATTAAGTGCAAGTGGGTTTGTGTGTGTGTGTGTGTGTGTGTATCTGTGTGTGTTTGCTTGTGTGTGTATTTTGAGAGTTTAGCTCGTTTGGTAATGTGGTATGTATTTGGTTTGCTCCTTTTGTTTTTCATCAATAAATAAGGCCAGTGGATACGCATACATCATAAAAGTTCAATCATAATATTCACACATATATATATATATGTATATATATGTATATGTAAGTAGTATTCATCTTATATACATACAAATTTAGTGGTTGTTTCTTGTTGCTGTTGTTGTTTTTGTAAAATGCGCATTCATCTACGCTGTACGCATGTGTATCTGTATGTGTTTTTGTATAAGACTAAGTTCTGTAATGCCTAGAAGCCGCAACTTATAGAGTCAAGCCTTATAATTGTTCCACTATCGATCGTATCGCTTCTAAGTAGGTTTTGCTCTTAAACGTTTTGTTTCAGTTTTTTGCTTTTTTAAAGTTGTTTGGTATAAAAAATAGAAAAAATTTTGTGGCAATAAAAACATTTTGTCTCAAATCATCATCAACATTTTATCTAGATATATAGATATTCTCAAATAGTCTGTAGTAATAAAATCTGCTTAGCCGCTACAAGGTTATTACAGGGTATACAATATGCGTTCGCCTTCAACACTAAATACAATGTGAAACACGGATATGAATGACTTAAACTATCATTTATAATAACTATATGCATATGCATATCTCTGCATATGTTTGTATGTATATAGAGTACGCTGCTGATTGCTTAAAAGTTTGCTCGAAAAATTAGTGTTACACACGTATATTTACTATGTACTATGCAACTATGTATATCAACTACATGCGGCATTTTCTCTCAAGCGATTTAAAAGCACATTTTGTGTCACATGTGTCTCTCTGTGTGTATGTATGTATGTATGTATGTATATGTATATGTGTGTGTGTGTGTGTGTGTTTCTGCGTATGTCAAAGTCAAAAGCTGAGCTGTGTTTGCCCTTTCCGTATCCGGTTTCACAACTACGAACAAACTACTCGTTACGCGTTACTCGTTACTCGTTACTCGTTACTCCTTACTTTTTACTCATTATTCCTAAAGCTTACTTCAATTTCAATTTTCTACTTCTATAAGACGTCTCGCTTGTGGTGCTGTCTCTCTCCTTGTTTTGTTTATTGTTGTTTCCAATGGTATGGCGCAGTTGTTGTTGTTGGTTGTGGTTGTGGTTGTCGTGGTGTTGTTGTTCTTGTTCTTGTTGTTCTTGTGGTTGTCGCTTGTGAAATTGTGTCAGACAAACATTAAAAAGTGGCTTCAATGCTCTTTCCCTTCGACTAGATGGGAGTGGTTGGTGAAGGAAGAAGCGAAGACGATGAATGTTGAATTCTCCACTACAACATTATTTCGAGCCCCAGTCAAAAATTGGACTCTATCGGGCCAAATTTGTGCGTTTTATTTGGGATTTGTTCATATTTTTTGTTGGAATTGTTTTTGTTTGCTATTCGAGCGAGTCTTTTGGATTGCTGTTAGCTGCTGTGTCTCTCGGCAGTCGCTATTGTTGAGCATAATACTAACTAACAATAATTACCATTACCATTACCATACCACGGAAAGGTCCAGCACCATCAGTGCGGAAGCATCAACGGTCGCGCCGTGCTGCTCAGTCTGTGATGGTGGTTCTGGTGCGACTTGTCAACACCATCGCCACCATACTCATTGTAGGTGAGCAGCGGCGATATCTTCAGTCCCGTCTTCTCGGGTATGATCTTAAAGTGCGGCTGATCGGCGCTAACCATCAATGGTCGCTTCATCGATGAGTGGAGATACTCGTGTCCATGACCCACATTACTGGACACAGCCGCTCCGAGTGGTCTCCGTGTGCTGGGCACATTCATTTTCTTGCAGGGCTCCGGCTTGCTCTCATAGTTCAGCTGACAGTTCTCCGGCGAGTATTTGTTGGGCTTGTAGATGGAGAAGATGTTGTTGATGAGACTCAGCGCCGAATGGCCTCCAGCTGAGGCATGATGAATGCCCGCAGTTGGCTGTTGGGTCAGCACACTGCCCAGCGTCGTGTGCTCCGGATAAAAGTTGTTGTACTGATATGAGGGCAGTGTATCCACGGTCGGATAAACCTTATGCCCATAGCCATAGGCTGGCAATGGTGGCGCTGCACTGCCAAGATGTCGCTGCTGATGCTGATGATGTTGCTGTTGTTGCTGTTGTTGTTGTTGTTGCTGGTGATGATGTTGTTGGTGGTGCAGCGGACCAGCAGTGTTCTCAAAAAAAGGATACCCAGCCGCATTGTTAGACGAGCCGTTCGAATCGAGCTGCGGCGGCGACGGCATGCCCTCCAGCAGCGATTTCTTGATCATGATCCGCTCGTGCTCCCGATCATGCATATCGATGGGCTGTCCATTGTTATAGCAGCGCACGTTGACGTTCTTCACCTTCAGATTGCTGTGCATGTTGCGGCGCATGTCCATGTTGATGGGACTGGGCGGTTTGTCCAGCTGCTCCCAGTACTTCTCCAGATCGATATTGAAATCCTGCAGATCGATCTCTGTCGTATCGCTGCAGCTGTCCTCATCGAACATGTTCGGTGGCTGCACCTCCAACAGGGACTTGCTGCGCGTCGGTCGCTGATATTGAGCCTGATAGCGTCGATGGCCTGGACTGGGCATGTGTCCCTGCGCCAGATACCGTTCATCCTCGTCCAGGAATTTGTCCTGCAGCTGCAGGCGTTCACGTTCGGCGCGTATAAACTGCTCCAAGTCGGTATCGTAGCGGCAATGCATGTGCTCCTCCTCCTCGGCGGCCGGATGATGACCGGGACATTGGGTCCGCCTCGATGCCGTATGCTGCGGCTGCTGGCGATGGCAGCAATAGTCATCTGTCGCACAGCAGCAGATCACCGTTGGCGGTGCTCTGCTGGCCAAACGCTGGCCGCGTCCCAGTCTATGATCGGACTCCGCACGCTCTGCCTCAAAGAGCCAACTACGATTCAGATTCCTGTTGCTGCCAGCGCTGGCATCGGCAACGGCACCGGCGCCGACACCATACATGTCCAGCCGCCGCCTCGATCCCGCATATATATCATCCAGCAGGCACTTGGCGCTGGTGCATTGCTCCCTGGCACAGCAGGTGTGCGCCAGGGTGCGCTCATCCAAGCTGTTACTATACAGCATATTCATGCTGCGCCTGTACGCCTCCCGTTTCTCCCGGCGTGTATTCGAGGCGGGCGGCAGCTCGTAGTCGATTATATCGAAGGGCATTGTCTTGGTCGAGGCACTGAACGAATAGGACTTGGGTACACCGGCGCGATTCTTTAGTATGGATGTGGTGGTCGCTACGCCCGGTCCGCCCGCCTCAAACACATTGCTCTCGAAGCAGCAGCTCTGCGACTTTGGGTACTGGAACTCCTTGCAGCTCTTCGAGCGGTGCAGCCCGTAGCCGGGCGAGCCTTCGCCCTCGCCACGGCGTTCCCGCATGGGCAGTGCATCATCGGCGTATTTCTCATCCTGTTCGCGTATGTCACGCAAGATGCGATTGCTGTAGCTGCCATACTTGAGGCAATCGGGCACATAATCCTCGTCCAGATCGTCGGAGCGATTCGAGTAAATGTTATCCGTATACCAGGTAGAGTCAAGCTGCTTCGGCTTTGGCTTGGCCAGCAGCAGCTTATCGCGCTTCGACTGGCGATAGCTCTCGAAGCAGATGTTCTTCATCTTCTCCAGCTTCTGTTCGCGTATGCGCTCCCAGTTCTCCCAGTTCTTGTCGTTCTTGTTGCGGCCAGATAGTATGAGCACATCCCTGTCCTTGTCCCAAATGAGACCACCATCGGCATCGCTATACTCGATATTTAGGTGCTTCGTCTCATGGCTGGGCGATTGTGACTGTGACTGTGACTGTGATTGGGATTGGGGTTGGCTATGGGTGTGGGCTTGGGTGTGGCCAATGGGTATGGAGCTGCAACTAGCTAAATTGTTATTATCAGTAACTACAATTCTAATTCTACGCTTGGTCTTGTCGCCTGCTCCTCGCGACGTTTGCATTGATGATTTAGCAGGCGGCTCTTCCTCTTCTGGCTGTCACACCTCCTGCAGATACTTGATGGGACAATAGCCCTGACGATTGTCCGCCGAACGCACCATTACCATACCATTTACTTCATCGCCAGTCTATTAACAACGGGTAGAAAAAGTATTTTTGTGTATTTTTGTGATAAATAAATATATGCTTGTATTTGTGAATAATTTTAATATAATTTATAGCAGGGACCGTAAACATTAAATAAAATCATAATTAAATGATTATTTATTAAATCATTGATTATTTTTTTGTTTGACCTCATACAACAATTATTTCTGGATTAAAAAATAGATGTTATCAGTCAGGAAACAATTAATAACAATTTCCCCTGATGCAAATCAACAAAATGTCTGCTTTAAATTAAACAATTAAAAATAATCACTTTTTACGGTCCCTGGTTGCTGTAGTTTTGCCCACCTGTATGACAATTTGGTCTCTGAGCAGCGTCATATTCTCGCCACGTTCTCCGTCGGAAACTTGGAGATTGTGGGTCACCTGCAGCGGCTTCTCGTTGGCATTGAGGCGTACACAGTACTTGGATGGAAAGAAGCCAACGCGTCCCAGCACCTTGCCCTTCCACCAGTCCGGATCGGAGGTATCGATGACTGTCACCTGCAGTTTGCGGAGGAGGGTTGAAGGAAGGTTAACCAACTATTGTTGCCATTAGCACGAACCGTTGCTTGTCCTTGCAAGGACAAAGGCATAAACATAAGCGGCAGCCTAGCTGCTAATGCATATGTAAACAACTCGCTCCATTTACAAGCAGCCGCGGGGGCGTATACGCAATCGCAATGCCAATCAGCATATGTACCCAATTCCCTTTCCCCTATATTGACTACTATTATTTCGTCGATTTTTTTCTCTCTCTCTGATTTCCCATTTGTTTTGCTCTATGTACATAATGAAAATGCGCTGTGTATATTATAAATGAACCAGTTCTTTCTTTTTCTTTTTTTTTTGTTTTATTTTTTCTTTTTGTTTTGTGAGCGGATTGTTTTTGCTGCCATTGTATCCATATGTACACAGCTACACACGTATATATATATATACATATATATATTGTCTATAAAAATTTATTGGTGTGAGTGTGTTTATTTTGTCCAAGCAATTTCCTGCGCTGCCATTATCCTGCTTTGTGTGTATGTGTGTGTGTGTGTGATAAACTCACAGATTAGCGGATTAAACAAAGTGTTTTACCTATTTAATACCCTGTAAGCTGCACTCATTCAGTGTATACGTAATCGTATCAAAAATTGTTTGATTTAGCTTGCTTTAATACCTGTAATCAGATTTTGTATGTCAGCTAAATAATAATTAAAGCTCTTGGAAAATGTTAATGAAAAGGAAGTCTGACTTATTGAAAGGACTATTAAATGATATCAATGCTAAAGCGCTTTCTATGTGATAAACTGAACTAATGCAACTTTTTCAATCTTGCACCATACATAAGACAATTGAAGTGTTATTTCCATATACCATTTCAGATCAGAATGGCAATCAATAATCTCACCTTATAGCCGGCCTTGAGGTCCAGTTCATCGGCATGCCTCGCCTTAAAGTTGTAGAGAATGACGTACAAATTGGTGGGCAGCAAACGATGCGATTTCTTGAAATTGAAAACACATTAGAGTCGCCTAATAAACAACTTGCCACAACCAAACAAAAGAGAGACAGAGAGACAGAGAGGCAGCAACGAAAAGTACGCAAAAACAAAAAGTAAGAAAAAAAAAATGGGAGCGAAATCGAATGGGGGGAATACCTGGGCATGTCTTACTGGTGATAGGCAAGGCGATGTGCTGGCCGAGGATTGCGACTTCTCCATTTCATCGGGCAAATCGACGCTGCCGCCCCGCATGCCGCGTGTGGCATAGAGGAGCTTGCGGCCCGGATGCGAGGGGCTCGATGGTGCTGTAATGGATATGGATGCGAAAAGGCGTCGTGTTAATGGGCAACTCTGATGGCAGCAAACGATATGCAACACACACATTCTCAGTGCGGTTGTCAGTTAATTGAATGCACGCATGATAGAAAAGAACAAGATACAGATACAGAAGTTACAAGTTACAATTAAACAGATACAGATACAGATAGCATTAAAGTAAAATTTATATAGAGGCTGTGTTGTGCTTCAACATATAAGCGAACCGATAGCTTTGTGACTTATTTAGTTAGCTGGTATAATTCAAATGATGAAGCCTTAAGTTGAAAATAGTGTCAAGAGCTAATTGGAGAGAAATGATGTTCATGTATGACTGTAAGTTGTGTGGAACTTTTTTACTTTTCTTCAACTTGAACACTTCAAACTACATTTAGCTAGTACTACATAAAATTAACGAAAATATAATAAGAACAAGCTACAAAGAGTATTAAGCATCAAACTACTTTAAACTTTAGGCGTGTTTACAAAAAATGAAGCAATTGCTGTTGTAGTAAAAACTCAGAGAATATTTTTGTGTTCCATCTTTGTGTTTTGCTCGTTGTAGTACTAGGAGATCATATTTCGAGTCAAGAATTGGAATCAGAATCAGAATCAGAGTAGGAGCAGAGTTTAAGTTAAGTTCTAGTTGAAGCCGGAAAAAAACGTATTATCCATTTAGAGTGGGTATTGTTAAAAATTTGCTGGACTTGGTTTTAAGGTTTTAGGTGCAATTCCTGTCGGTGGTCGGTGTAGAGACGGTGACGGGAGCGGGAGCGGGAATGTGGTTAGCTACTTACAGTGCAGCCGGCTGTTGTTCGACGGCGGAGTACTGTGCTCCAGATGGCCTCCCGAGCCGCCATGGTAGTAGCCGCTGGATGTGGACGCGGCCGTTGCCGGCAGATGCTGGCGCCGCCTAAACTGACCGTGCAGCTCCGAGGATTCGGGTGAGTCCAAACTCAATGATTTCATGCGTAAGTTCAACTTTTGGCGGCGCGGTGAGTGCGGTGCTGTTGTTGTTATTGTTGTTGTTGTTGTTGTTATTGTTGTTGTATGGTATTTTTTGGATCGAGTGTTGTTTTAGTTGTTATTTATTTTTTTTTTTTGACAATAACGCGACAGACACAAGATGAGTTTGGTTTGGTTTGGTTTACGGTTTTCGTACGAAAAAGCAATAAAATGTATACAAAAATTTGCAATTTAATTTCGTTTTGTTCAGAATTTCATTAGCTATATAGTATCTATGTATGCATCTACAGCTCTAAGAAAAAATCAAAAAACTAAAAATCTTAAATTAACAATAAAAACAGCTTCAGTTTCATTTTTTTTTTTAAATATTTTTTTGATTGTTTTTAAGCTATAACTGAAACGGAAACGGAAACGAAACAATAGGACACAGAATAGAAAGTTATGTACGAGTACATTTTTGCAACAGAGCAACATTTAACACGTTTGAAGAGACAGCAAGTGTTTCAGGTGTATTTCAGGTGTGGTTCTAGGCGCCCCGTGCCAGCTGCCTTCAAAAAAAAAAACAAATAACGTAGATCGGTGCGTGTAGTTCAGTGTAGATCTTTGGTTGGATTTCAAATGCAAAAAAGAAAGAGAGATTGGACAAGTCGAAAAGACAAAAGATTTGGAGCATTCTTGATTGATAGCAATTTGTGTGAAGATTCTCTTGACTGACTCAAATAAATTCTGTAAATATTCCATCATATTTTTATTGGTGTTTCTCATAATTGTTTTTATGGCATTTACAACAATCATCAAAGCATACAGAGAGATGTGCATTAATAAATTACTAAAATACTTTAAAATACATTTAAGTTGTAGCTCATTCCCATGCTACTTGATCTACATACGTATATAGAATTGAGTTGAACTAATGTATATAATAATATAGTATTTTTAATGAGTAGTATTAGTTGAGTATTTTATAATAATTACTGTGATGCATGTTTTAAGATTCATTTACGAACTACATTTAATATTACATTTAATAAGGCTTTCTGTGCTAAATGAAAGAAAAAAAAAAAAAAACAACAGAAGTGTGTGTAGGTAAAACTTATGGCATAAAATTAAAATAAATTAAATGAAAAGTCCAAAAGTAGATATAGGTGTCAACTTGATGTTGTTGATGCTGTTTGCTGTTGCTGTTGTAGTTGTAGTTGTGGTTGAGTACGGTTTGAATTATGCAATTGAATATTAATTCAAGCGCACTCGTCGCTTAGTCTTGGACTCATCATGACTGGGCTCAGGACTCTTGGCGATGGTTCTGGTTAGCATCAGGGGCTCGCCGAAAGGACGCGCAATGTCGGTTTTCGTATTCGTTGCTGCTGTTGACACATATACATATACATATATATATATATATAATTATTATAGGAATAATCTACGAATGAATGCCTTGCGACGATTGTTAGTTATTAGCGTTGGATTATTCGCAGAGCTTCTTAGGATGATTCGGCTTTGGCATGCTGAAGCGTATTAAAATTAATTAAGTTAAACGAAGACAAAGCAAAAGTAATAAACATTAAGACGCCACCGTCTCGTGCATAAAACAGCTGAACAGAGCCACATACATACAATCCGAGCACAGACTCTATCCGGGGGCAATATGTAATAGGGCAGAAAAAAAAATCCGAAAAAAATAAGTGCACACAGCTTGTAGCTTCCAAATTGCCAGATCTAGCTTTGGCTGGTCCCGAGCCCCAAGCAAACTCTCGACCAGGCCAAAAGAAAAACATGCAAATGTACGAAAAATAACTAAAGACAAAATGAAAATCCCTGTCGCAAGTTCCAGTCTAAAAAGCAAGGGGGAAGAATACATTAAAAAAAATATATAAAATAAATAAAAAGAAATTGTGCGCAACAACAAATTTTAGCATAATTATGTTGCAGGAACCTTGGACTGTATTATGGAGGAGAGCGGAGCGGAGCGGCTGCTTAGTTGCCCAAAGACAAAAGCACAGAAATAAGTTTCTTGGCTCTCTCTTCCTCACTATCTGCTTCGGAAATGTGGCACTGAAGTACGCCAAAGATTGGGAATGCCATTAAAAATGCGGCTGATATTAAGCATAAATGAACTCGGCTCAAACTTGGGCACAACTTATATTTTCTGCACTACTAACGGCAAAATGGCAACCTGCAACATGCAGCCGGCAGTAAGCAAACTATGCAACATTTGTGTGCAGCCGGTCTACAGTAAAATTTATATATCCTGTAAGCATAAAAAATATTCCCTTAACAAAAAGGGTATAATAAAGCTGCGTAAGACCAACGTTTCTTATATCCTGTAAGCACTAAAAATGGTTTCTAACCAAAAGGATATAATAAAGCTGTGCTGTGTAAAAGTAAGTATCCACAGAATGTATAGCTTCCTGATTAGCAGTTGCTGTTGGTCCTAGTTGACTTGGTCTGCCTGTCTTTGACAGACTGTCTGGAATGCGTTCGAGACTATAATTTAAGTTCGGTCTCAGCTTTTACTGCAATTTATTTAGTTTGCTGACTTTTGGTAACTGAAAATTGTCATTGACTTCAATTTCAACGTTGTTGTATGTTTCCTTCCAAATATCCAAAAGATAAGTGTCTTATTCAAATTCTTGGGATTATAACAGCTGAAGAAGTTTTGTGCTTTATCTGTATATACCCTAAACATATATGTTTTTTTGAATTGGCTACAGGGTATCTTCGAGTTACATACTGCACACCTTTTACAAGTTTTCTCTGTTTTTTTTTACTGTTACATACAAAGCTGACAATGGCTCGCAATTTTCACGGCACAGCCGCTGCCGCTGCAAGTTGTTTCTTTAGCTGCAGACTGCTCCGGTCTTTATGCTTGCCCCTTCAACAAGCTGAGTCCTGTTGCGAAAGGCAGCAACTCGACCATGTATACAAATTATGCCAATGTGCCTTGGCTTGTAATTGCTGTTGCTGTTGTTGTTGCTGTTGTTGTTGTTGTTGTTGTTGGTGTTATTGTTGCAGCTGCCGGAAATGAGCCGTTTGCCTGAAGTGTAAACTGGGTTAAGACTAATTGGCGTGTTGGGCCATTGTTTAAGTGAAGTTTGCATTGTGACGCGTCTCTAACTGGAAATTAAAGTAAATGAAATGCAGTTCGGGGTGCACTTAACTAAGGTATAACATTTAACACACACACACAGATACACACACACACACACACACGCACTCTCACTACAATACAAGGCACAACACTTAGAGAGAAAGAGAGACAGAGTGGGTGGGTGGGTGGGTGTTGAAAGAGAGAGAGAGAGAGAGAGAGGAACAACAACAATAAACAGTTGCTAAATGCGACACTAAAAAAACACTAATTAAACATCCACAATTGGAATAAAATGCAGTACTATTCCAAAAAGAACGGTTGCTTGTTGTTGTTGTTGTAGTTGATGTTGATGTTGATGTTGTTGTTGATGTTGTTGTTGTTGTTGTTGTAGTTGTTGTGCTGATTGATGATGTTATAATTGTTGTTGCGGTTGTCGATGTCGTTTTGGTTGTTGCTGTTGCTGTTGCTGTCGCAAAACTGATTGCAGCACTCTCAAACGAATAGTTGCCGCACAAATCGATGACTGAATGAGTTGCACGTTTCGTACGGATACAAGGATTTTGTGTTTCAAGGTGGTAGTAGTAGTAGTTGTCGTGTGGATAGGGTTTGTAAAAGTGATGGTTGTGGTGCTGTTTATCTTGTTGTTGTTGTTGTTGTTGCTGTTGTTGCTGTTGTTGATGTTGTTGATGTTGTTGGCTGAATGTGATGTAATTACTTTCTGGCAATGATATGGAGCGATGCTGCTGCTGCGACGACCGCTGCATTCTTAGCCGTCCAAAGCCCGACAATGGCCGAAATCCAGCAAACAAACGACGTCTTACTCCGGGATCATTTTGCAGATAGCTGCACGAAGGTGGCTGTTGTGCTGGTTGCTGTTGTTGTTGCAGTGCCTGATATGCTGGAGATGCCTGTTGCACCTGCTGTTGCTGCTGCTGCTGTTGCTGTTGCTGCTGTTGCTGCAGCTGCTGTTGCTGCAGATATGAGGTTGTTGCTGCTGTGACTTGTTGCTGTTGCTGTTGTTGCTGCTGCAGTGCGCTGGTCGTGTAGTAGTTAATGCCAAAGCCGCTGCTGATGTAAGCGAAGGTGGACATATTGCTGACGGGCGCATAGGGCACGCCATAGCGTTGATCTTTGTCGTAGTCGTCGTCGTTGTTGTCGTGGTGATGTTTTTGATATTTTTATATATTTTTTTTTACATTTTGTGGTTTATTAGGTATTTTTTATGGCAGGGGGGAGGGCAACAAATGACACGAGAAAACATTTTGGTGTGTGTTAATTTCGAATTGTTGCACAATCAATAAATTAAGAGTCATTTGTCAGTGTGTGTGAGGGTCAGCTTATCATAATTGATGTATTTGATCTATTTAGACCAGCACAGACTAATCTCAGTTAAATTGGCCAAGCCAGCCAATTAGTCAATTAACCAGGCTGCTGCAATAAGCCATAAAATATTGTTCGGCCGCACAAAGACCAAATAGACTTGCCAGCCAATTTGGCAACCGGAATGACAAAAGACAAAGGTTACAATGGCAACAAGCAACACTATTAAACACACACACACACACACACGCAGACACACTTTTACTAATTGGAAATATGTTGTTGCCGTTGCGGTCGCAAGGGAAATGCAGTTGCAAGTGACGAAACGGGCGCTAATTATAAGGCCAAATGCTTTTGGCCTGGCCAATGCACTCGAGTGCGACTAAGTGTGCGACAGATTGCAAATAGTCAACGCCATTTAAACTGATCGCCCTCAGCGGAGGTAGGGTGTAGTGGGTGTGTCGCAGTGTGTGTGTGTGTTTGTGTCTGTGTGTGTTAAATTTGTGTTGCCAGCTCGCTGCGTCAATTTTCAATTGAAAATCATTCTTGCATGGTTGCCTTTTGACATTGTAACGATTTATATATGTATATATGTATATGCATTTAAGCACACATTCAGTACGAGTACAGCTAATATAAATACCCTACAAAATGTGATCGTTTGCATGCAGCACTTATTCAAATTAAAAGTTGAATGAAAATCATAATTATTAAAACTTTTTAAATTTCGCTTTTTAATGAATATATTAATGAAAATTCCTTTTCAAATATATTTTCTGATTTTAATTAGATGTATTAGCATATATAAGATGCGGCGTATCCCGTTCAGCACTATTCAATTGTTATTTGGGTCCCCATAATAGATAGAAGGAGTTAACTTGTTCCAGACCAACCGCACGCTCGCACCAGCCTCTCACAGCCGACACGCTAGAGAAACACACACACACACTCCCACAGACACACACACACACGCTTACACTCAAATATATTTGCAAAAGATGTCTAAAAGTCAAATACATATTTAATCAGTGACCTATTTTATACTCAAGCATTTGTATTTTTAGTTGAAACATTATGCTTTTATTGATATTATTTATTTATGTTCGTTATTATATGTGTGTGTATGAGTTGTGTTATTAAATGAAGATATATATATATATATATATATATATATCAATGATTAGCATAAAACGAATACATTAAACTAAATACGGAATATTAGTTAAGCATTAGGATATTTGTGGCTAATTAAATGCTGTTTGCTAAACGCTAGTTAAAAGAAACTAAGCTAAAAACTACGATTTGGCAAGTAGCTAGAGAAAAGCAGAAATTTCTTTTATATTTGTTTTTTGCAATAAAATGTATCTAAAAGTTATACACAAAATGCATAGCTACGTTGCGCAAGTGTATGAGATTATATATATGTATGTGTGTGTGTGTGTGTGTGTGTGTGTGTGTCTATTGGCCAAAATCGAAATCCAAAGGCGAAGCAACGGGGCGTATGCGTAATATATCTTACGTATCAAAATGAGCATTGAATTTGATGTAGTAAATATGTAGCTAAATGTATGTGTTGTGTGTGTGTGTGTGCGTGTGTGTGTGTGTAGAGGTTATTGGGATGCGCTACTTTGGCTTTTATACAAGTGCAGTAACAGCATTTAGCAGATTTGTAGGTGATTAAAGAGTATTTAATGGCTTACACTCACATTATTTGGGTGTACATGTGTGTGTGGGTGTGGGTGTGTGTGTGTGATGAAGAATATCAAATATGTATTGGTAACTGCTTTTATAGCTAAGAAGAACACAGAGGTGTATGTGTGTGTGTGTGTTGGTGAGTGTATTGAGTTACAATACTTTCAACTTTGCTTTTGAGATTGATTTACTTGAGGGTTTTTTGTAATTTTGGAGTTCAACGAAATGAAATGATGAATTGTGGGTTGAATTGATTGATGAACTCTTTGTAACAGAGCAGAGGAGAAGGCGGATGACAGACAGAGGCAGAGAGCAAAGGGTAATTGAGATAAAATCACAGCTACAAACCATAAAAATGTTCAAAGTAACTGCACACAAATCAAAACAAAAACCAAAAAAAAAAATAATCAACAGGAAAAGAATGCAAGAAACAGATTTTTATGAAATTATGAGCAGATTTTTAGACAGAGAGAGAGAGAGAGAGAGAGAAAGAGAGAGACAACAAGCTACTTTGTTGTAATTATTTTGTTCTGTTTCATTTCATGTTTGCGGACCTGAACTACTAGAGATATCTTGTGGGGGCACCGGCAGGCCGCCGCGCTGTTGCTGCAGCTCCTGTTGTTGCAGCTGCACGCCCAAAATGGGCATGGCCACCGGTGGGGGGCGCACCCCGCGGCCGGCACGCACCGCAGCCGCCTGCGCCACCGATGCCAGGCTGCGCTGGTGGTGTGATTGCTGCTGCTGTTGCTGCTGCTGTTGCTGCTGCTGCTGCTGTTGCTGCTGATGCGTTGGCTCCTGCACGACAGGCTCTGGCACATTGACGATGGGTATGTCGGGGGCGACGGGCAGCCGTTCGATGGCGATGGCCATCGGTTGCTGTGGCAATGCTGTGCTCGGAGCGCTCGCTCCAATTCCAACTCCAAGTGCAGCTCCAGCGCTGCCGTCCAACGTTTTGCTCGGCACGTGAACGGTCTTGTCGACGGCTGGAATATGCCCGGATTTGAGTTCGCCGGCTTGTTTCAGCACACGATAAATTTGATCGATTTCGGTAATTTCTTTTTGTGGGTGCCGTAATATTTAATTTGATAAGTTGCCGAGTTTGGTTTTTTTTTTTTTTTTTTTTTGTTTTTTGGTTGTGGTTGTGGACGTGGGCGTGGTGGTGGTGGCCAGTTGTGGTTCGGTTCAATTTCGATAAAATTTGTTCGATTTTGATGATGTGCATTCAAGTGCATTAGTTAAATTTTTGGCAAATGGTTGGATCGATTTGATATTTGATGGGCTTTAATACTTTTTCATGGAATTTAAGTTGGAAGGGGGGACTTTTTTTATGAATGCAATATTCTTATATTCTGCAGGACTTTTGTGTATGTGTTTTGGTGCGAACGTGAGTTGCTTCGCTAACATATTTAATAAAATACTTGAGTTGACTTTAGTTAAGTTCGCTTAGTTGCATTGATCGCCACTTCGAGCGCTCAAGTTTGGGGTTTATCATGTATTGAATGTGTTTGTTTATTTGTGTGTAGCATATGAGAAAAGAATTAACGACATAATTTGTTGGTTTTACACTAGTTGAGCGACATTTAAATGGGACCAAACTCTAAATGTGTGTCGACAGTTTACCCAATTCTTACAGAACCCAAAAACGATAGATAGATAGATGTGTATGTGTACGAAATGCGAAACGATAACTAGTGAAGTATTTGATTTTTGGTTTTCTGACCAATGATAATTTGTTATTGTTATGGCAATAAGATATACTTAATGACAGCTCTATTACATGCTCCACTACGCAATCTTATTGTTGTTATATTTTGGTTTTTGGTTTTTGGTTTTTAGTCAAATTTTCAAATAAATCGATAGTTCAATATATGTGATTTTTTTGTTGCATAATTCGATTAATCGAAATACAATAATCTTTTTGTTGTTGTTGTGATATATATATTTGTACCCTGAATAACATGTGACTGAGTTTGAAAATCTCGCTGTTTTTGTGTAAATATGTTGAACTGGAGTGTGGTTTTGCTGAGCTTTGTTAAATATTATAAAGATATATATATATATATATGTAAGTTGATTTGTTCATTCTTGTCTCGCTAATTAGGTGAATCAAAGCGCAACAATCAATCATTGCATTAACCTATTAAGAAACTATAAAATCGAAACCACAAATTATTTTCAACAAAATGAATTGTAAAAACATAATTGAAAATGAATATTTAATTGAAGCGCATGGCAATTGAGTATCTTTGCGCATACAATATAAGTATGATATATACTATATAGAGCAATACATTCGGTACCTAGTTGCGCAATGCGATTGATGAAGGGCGTCTTTTGACGGAATTTCGAATTGGGCACATTCAACAGATTTGCGCTTTGATTTTGTTCATCGGCTGTGGTCTGCCCACATTGGGGGCTAACGGACTCCTGTGGCGATGCTTCATGGGTTTATATATTGTTTTTTTTTTTTTTGTGGGGGGAAGAGGATTTTTAAGTTGATATTTATTGAGTGGTTTTTGGTGTCAAACTACAATTTGTTTTGTTTTTATTTCGATGGCCAGTTACACAGTTTGAGATACTTGCAGGCAATGACAATAAATAGCATATGTAAAGTATATTAAATATTTTATAGAAATATGTGTGATTTTCAATACGGATATGCCAAGCCAAAGACTACAGAGATACCTTAATATCCATTTAGTTTTTCGTTACAATTATTACTTGGTATTTCTTAGGAGACTATAATAAACCTTAATATGCAATTTTTGAGTATCTGGGCGCTTTGAAAACTTTCCAAGAAGGTATTAGGCCTATATTAAGTTATTTTAAATATGCCGTTTGTCAGTTAGATTTCTTTAATTTGTATATCTCGAGCTGTGTACTTGGCTCAATCATTTAATATAATAACAGCGCAATAACTTTAACTGGTCCCCCCAAAAAATGTATATGTCCACAATATTTAATAAAATATGTATACTTGGTACAATTGAATGAATGAACGAGGAAATGTCCTCGTTGCAAACACAAATTTTGAAGTTCACACAAATTTTATAAAACGAAACATTTGACAACCAAAGTGAAAACCAGATAAATGCAACAAAAATGGAAGTATATATGTAGTAAAGAATTTTATTGAATTTTTTTTTGGTTTGCGAATCGTTGCAAAAATCCGAAATGACGCAATCAGTTTGTCCCACGAGTGACATAAATCCATTGTGATATCAAATGGTTGCCCACAAGCCAACAAAACAATCAATTCAATATACGCACACAGGACAAGGATGCGCTGCTGTTCAATTTGACAATATTTGGTTGCTGATTTTTACTGAACATGAGAACTTGTCGTCTTCTGGCACTGGTTATGGTTCTCGTTCTGGTTCTGGTTCTGGTTTTGGTTCTGGTTCTGTTTCTGGTCTGGACGTGGTCGTGCATTCGGTTGAAAATAACCAGGTAATGGGCTACCTGACACTTGTGTGGGTGGGTCACAAAATGCACAATTTATGGCATCCGGTTGACAGGAACCATTCTGACCGGGACAACTGGGCAACAACATTGAACAGTGTATGACCAGGCCATGCAAATGCATAGTCGACAACTTGCAGTTCAGACCAATCAAAATCAAACACTTAACAAAACACAAACAAGCAAAACAAAGGTAAACGAAAAGACAAAAGAAAACAGAGAAGAAACAACAACAAAAAAAAAAATAGAAACGAAAAAATCAATTCAATTTTGAGCATAAACACCCAAGGGTTGGCTGGCTCCTGCTTTTTATCTTATGTGTAGTTAGAAGGTACTAAAAGCCCATGATGCCTATGGGGCAAGTCGTTAATATACAAGACAGGCTGGGCTGCTGCACGTAGCAAGCATATTGCAGAGCGTGTTATTATTGTTAATGGGTTAAAGGGGGCGGGCGGGCTGTTGGCGGGGAGTTTAGTTTTTTTTTTTTGGCGCGTGATGAGCTCGACAGAGAGAGAGAGAGAGACAGATAGAGACCGCAGTTGTAGTCATGCGTGGAAAATACTCACTTTCTTCCTCGATATCAACACGATTCTCCAGCTCCGAGGTGCTCTTCTGGCGACGCAAAAGCTTCTGTTTCGGCTGGCAGCGGGGCAAATTTGGAGCACAGTCTCCATGGGCGTTCAGCTTGCAAATGCGACAACGCAGGCCCTGACGTGTGTGGCCTGCAAGTGGCGACAAACAAAAAAAAAAAAGTAGATGGTTGCCATTTAAGGACAACATTCGCAAAAAGGTTGGCAATTTGAATACGCGCCTCTCAAAATTTGCGAGCAGACATCACAAGCCGTTATCTTCTTGTACGTGTACTCCTGCAGGTGATGGCTGCCATCCAGATTGGGGCGCAGCGACTCCGATGGGGCATTCGAGGCACCATTACGCCTGTGAAGAGTTCAATTGATATTGTATCAGTGTAAGCTATTTCAGTCTAGCCACACACACACACGCACACACATACATACTCAAATGATATGCATTTCAAATATAACTCAATTTAATAAAATCCAATCAAATCGATTCCACAAATCTGTGTTAAATATTGCGCTTTTGCTTTGACTAGACAAGTAAATGTAATTATTGTGTCAACCACAAAATGCAAATATTATTATAAATAAACATATTTACATAAATATTTACACAGCTGGAACATATTGAAGTGTAAATTTGCATTTTGTAGATAAATTGTGTGACCACAACAACTGTGGCCGAGCTCATGCTTTTGTTACATTATTATTCCAAAAAAATATGGACAATGACAGTGGCAAACAATGGCAACGCCAACAATGCCAAATGAACATTAATCACAGTCCCTTGTTTGAGGATACATAAAGTGGCCTCTCACACAAAATAAGCATGTATGGAAATGTTATTAAACATTTAGCTACTCAAGAAACAAGCAAAATATATTTCAATAGCCCATTCAATATCAGTACCATCATTTCAAAGACATTAAATAAAACATTTTTCGATTTAAATTGTGTTTTAAATATGACAACTTGTTCAAAATCACATTTAGCAGTAGGAAATTCCATTCCATTATGTCTAACAACTTAATTAAGAGTATTAAATAGTCAACAAAGCTGGCTCTGCTTTGAATCATTAATAGAAATACAGGAAATACTCAATTGAATAAGATACTCGAATTTTTGTAAGAAAAGCATTTCGGGTCTCTCAATAATTTCATATTATATTTATATTCATAGCTTTTGCCCTCGAATATAACCAATTTGTTGTTTTTATGCTGCTGGGTTTTTACTTGCTGGCCTTGTTTTATTTACCAGAAAAACATACAGAAAGAAGGACACTCAGACAGACGCTGGAACATATATATATATATATATATAAATAAATACATATAAAGAGACAATACGCCAGACAATGGTGCAATTGTTCACAGTGGGCGGTCGAGAGGGCTATAACAGGAGACCAGGCTGCGGACCAGAGCCAAGCACTGAGCCAACAGGCAGGCCGAGTGGTAATGGATGTGGGCCAACTCTCGACGCTGATTGTTTGTAAGTGGCTTATATTGTGCACAAACAAACAATTCAGTTCAGTTCAGCACGTTGGCTTATAAAGTTGTAACAAACGTGTAAAATATACAAATTTCTGTACGGTTGTTTATCCTATCAACTTAAGTTAAGTAATTACCATCATGGCATGTTATTTATAGTGTGCGTAAAGCAAAAGCGCAACATTTACCAACAATTTCGCAATTAACACTTGTAGTTGAACTATTTAAAAAAAAAAAACCAATTTTGCTATCGTCTTTAAAATGATTACTTTAAAATTGTTGGCCTAGCTAAAAGTATTTATCATCTTTAGCAATCCGTTGAAAAAATAATTGTTTTTATTTGTTTTCGCAAGCATACACAAGTATTGATAAATTCCGATATCTACAAATAATATGGGTTTCAGATTTATGGTATATCAATTCAGTTTATTTGCACACTTTGCCCATTCACAATGCAAATCAATTTTATTAAAGTTAAACATTCAGATTTGGAAGATCATTACTAAGACAGTTTAGCGAAAAACCAAACGAAATAAAAATTTAAGACTATGGCAAGCCGTAAAATAATATTAGTAGTCTCCCTACTCAAATAAAATAACGTGTTTAGGTTATAAACTTAACTTAATTTTAACTCCATTACCTATCAATAGATTTAATAATGGGTATATTATTGAAAACGCAAAATACTTGACTACTTTCTTAAAAATTGTTCCCTAAGCTCAATTATAAATCCCATAAAATAATATGCTATTTGACAGCATTCAAATGGCTAATCCAATTGAATCCAATCAATGCAATTTCACATACATAGAATCATAAATATTATATTTAAGTATAGAATAATAAACAACTAATTATGATTTGTAAGACTGTTTTACTTTAATATACATACATACATAGTTAGTTTTATACGTTTACAGGGTACACTAACAACTAAGTGTATGTAGATAGAGTTATGTATACGTCGTGATTTAATGTACATGGGATAGTTCTTTATAATTAGAGTTACGAATTGGATTTTGGTGTATTAGCAAAATGCATTTTGGCTATAGCTGTATAAGTGAACATAAAAAATGGGCCATAAAATTAATTATACGTTTTTCATTAATGCACAGAACAGAAAGTTTCACGAAATTTTCGAAACAACAAGAACAACAACAAAATATATTTTGTGGCTCCAAAAAAAAAAAAAGAAAACGAGCTGGCCAACAGCATTTCCGGTCGGCGTGGTTTTACTGAGCGTATAAGTAATTTGGAGCGCAATGCGAAAACTTTGGCAATATAACAAAAGTTGAACTGTGATTTTTTTTGTCACGCCTGTAAATGTTAATATTAATTCTTTTTTTTTTTGCCATTGCACTTATGAATAGCTGAAATATTGTGTATATATATTTTTTTTTTTAGATATCGGGTTGCAATGAATATTGCAAAATGTGTCGCAGTCGCTTTTGGCCATAATTCCGTTCAAGCTGACGGGTTATCACAAAGCTAGCTCTCTCTCTCTCCCTCTCACTCTCTCTCTCTCTCTTTCTCTAGCTCACACAATTGTAGTCTGCGCTATCTTCTCGCTCTCTAAGCCGAAAAGATTTTCGATTTATCATCGTTTGCAGCACAAGCTGTCGGCACGGTATTAAGTATTTTTGTCGAATGCTATCAAACAACAACAAAAACCAAAAAAAGAAAAAAAATTGTTGAAAAAATAGGCAACGGGCCAATGGGAATGCCATAAACGGCAGCCAATTCGTATGCGAATACGGGATGCGGATGCGGATGCGGATTATAGTGCCCAGTGCATTGCCAATGCCAATGCAATTTTTCTACAAGCATTTCTATGGATGTACGTATTTTTTTGTACGTTGGTGTGTGGGTATCTATGGCGATTCTCCAAAATTTATGGCCTGCAATTTTTCACATATTTTCCAATGCTTCAACTGGCTCCAAGTTGAATTTACTGGCCCCAAAGTGAAAGTTCTGCAGACACATGTGCACTAACTGGGAGAACTACCAGCGAGCTGCAAACAGAGCCAAGTTAGTTTGAGCCCATATTGTGTTGCCATGCTTGCTTATTGAAAATCCAGGCAAAGAGGTCAAGAGCCGAGTACTTAATGCATGTATAAAATGATGAGATTTTGATAAGTTGTTTCTCTTGGTCTCTCGATCTGTGTTTGCTAACTATATCTATATTTAATTTTTTATAGTGTATTCGATTGTTTTATTGTTATTTTTCAATTTTAATTGATTTTTTGACGGCTGTGATTGATGGTCAGACCATCAGGCCCAGGCGCAGGTGCAATTTATGGCTTATGCTCGAAAAATAATATTTAATAAATGAGAAATATGTATACAGAAAAAAACAAGAAATACTCTTGCAAAAGCATTTGTGCAGTTTTTTGCTTTTTATATTTTGTTTTTGGAATTTTGAGAGTTTGTTTTTAGTTTGTACAGTCGGATTGTTTTTAATTTTTCTGTAGGGTAGCTGCTAATTCTACATTTGCGTGCAACATTTACAGCAATATTATTGTTGTTTATTAAGCGCTAAGAAAGCAAAATATTTAATTTAATTTAATTTGTAATATAATGTTGTTTTTTTTTTTTTTTTTTGTGTACCATTTTATTAGAAACATAAAAATGTTGCTTGATTAATTTTGGTTACCTCAAGGTCAGAACAGTCGATACAGCGTGGTACATTTGATTTTGTCGGGGTTGTTGGCTGATTGTAACGATTTGATTATATCATATATGCAGAATTTTTGTTCGAGTATTTTGGTAAACGAATATTCGTTAATTCGTATTTTCGGCCGTAAATGAAAATTATTTTAATGTTTTTTTTTTGTTTTTTTTTTTAACGAAATGTTATAAGTTGTTATATAGAGAAAAGTGTAGAGAATATTAGTAAATGCAGCATGTTAACTAGTCGAACTTAAATTTATCTTATTTATGTATTAAACTTGAGATTGGGGCTGTGTGTGGATACAGTTGAGAGCAACAAAATGCAACGGAAATGTTCACAGAGAATAAGCTGAAGCTGAAGCTGAACGAGAGCTTAGATGTTTTTTTTCCAACCTGATTAAATTACTTAACATAAATAGGAGAGAATGCGGCAGATGCAGAAATTGCACAATTTGAATTGTTGCATAAATGGCGAAAATATTTCAAAAAGGTTTTGCTCTATTTCATTTTGCCAGACATTTTGGTTTCGTGATGGCAAAATGCTCGCGGCTTTTAGTCAAATTAAAGTACGGGGGCGTGTGGGGTGTTTTTGTGGGTTAAGGTTTTGGGAATGTGAATACTTTGCCGAGCTTCATTTTGTATCTATGCAGTTAGAACATTTTCCGACGTTTTTCTGCCTATTTTCCGTGCAGTTGTTTACTTGCTTATTTTGTTGGTCTCGAACTGTAACTGTATATCGTGTTAGTTCACATTTTGACTTACGTATAATACACAGACCTAGTTATATATATAGATATATATATACATACATGCTATGGTAGTTATTGTTCTAAGAGGGATTGGTGGGATGGGTGGGGAGGGGGGTGTGGCAACTTACCTATCTGCTTGTGTTGCTGAACCAGAACCCACCGGCTTTAGGCTCTTAAATGCTTTCAGCCACTTTGTTTTCATCGATGGCGCTGTGGCAGCCGAGAATTTGCGTTCGTTGCGCGGCGAAGTTGGCTCAACTTTGCTAACGAATAACTCCTTCTGCGATTTGGCAATCGAATTAGAAAGAGAGAGACAGAATGAAAGAGAGAGAGAAAGAGAGAGAGCTTGATTAGTGATATGGTAAATACAATATAACCAAAGTCAAAGCTGCCTACTGGCAAGCAATTTGCACTTAAACGTCTCACGTTGCAGTTTAATTACACCCATTAGCAGGGACAACAACCACACTCACATACTGATAGACTAAATACTTACACACACACACACACACACACACACAGAGAGAATCTCGTTATGGTCTAATTACATGCATACGAGTTGTATTTAGGCGCAAATGTTAAATATTTAACTGAATATCTGATGCTCGGTTATTTTGAATAGCACCCTTACCACTCGACAGCAGGTTATCCTGTGGTTTCGTGCTAAATAAAGCTATTTTAATTAATAATCAACACTTTGCAAAATACCACAAAATGTAATTGTGTCACATATACACACAGATAGACAGACAGATAGACAGATAGACAGACAGACACACAGGCAGATAGTACTTTGTGACTTTTATGATAATTAAAACCACGTGTGACATTTGGTTACAGTTCTGTTTAGCCTTTGCTGGTTTTTGTTATTCCATCTGCCAAATAATCGTTATAATCACAGTCTGCACTGCTTAAGTGGTTTAGCAATAAAAATGCATAAATCTCCCATTATGAGGTACTTTCAATGCCACATGCAATTTCGTGTAAGTGCATTACATTAATTTGATGCTGACCAACCTTATAAGCTGGGATGGATAGAGAGCTTTTGCTATAACTAATGGTAATCTTAAATACTTAAGTGGAACTTTTAGTTACTTTAAGTAGACGAAATATGAAAAGCCATAAGGCTTACTGGAATTCATGAGAATCGCTCAACTTACAATTGATATTTTAATTAGCCGCATATTAAAACATTCAAAATACGAATTAACTTATTATGACTTATCCCAATTTATGTTTAATAATTTACAGATCAAGGCATTTTCAAGAATATTAAATGAAATCTATTTACTTTAATCTCAACTGACTTCACCCATTTGAAATCAGACGCATTGCCTTGAGAATACACAAGTTTTGGCTGTCACTTTCAGCTTGAACCTTAAACCAGCTGCATAGATTATTTGCTGGGTTGTGCTCAACTAAATGATATTGACTTGTGTTTCCAGTTTGTAGACAGGCGGATAGTCCTGTCACAACAATAACACGAACAGACCCACAAAATTTCGGCACTCTCACAATTGCTGCATTCATAATGCAACGAGGCGCGTGCACTTTTTGTTGTCAGTCGCTTGACTTTGATATTGTTGTTGTTATTGCTGGTGTTTGCTTTTGATGTGCGGCTCGAGCACTATTTTGGACATGGGAAGGGCAGAGAGTCGATACGATATGGAGAGGCGTGACAGTGGATTGGCACATAGGCATGAGCGCGTCCTCGTGCCTGACAGCAGGATATTAAAGTTGTCATGTGTCCATATGAGACTGGTATATATGTATGTATATACTCCTGTATATAGCTCATATATCAATATCAATGCAATCAATGCACGCAACTATTAGCCACCAGCTTAATGACAATGACAGTAACGGAAAGAGCATATTTACTGCATTTAATATGGTTAATTGACTTACAGTAATTAAAAATTAATTTCGCGGTAAATGACAAAACGGCGACGTCGCCAATAATTCAATACTTAATTAATCTATGCAAAGTGCAGTCGGAATTAAGTGAAGATTATATTATGGGAAAGCCAAAAACTAAAGCGGGCTTTAAAGGCACACACAGAAACACACATAGGAATAATGGCAAATAGGAGACTTATGACAGGCCAAGATAAGAAGTTGCTTTGCCTGATTTTGAGAGCCAGCATCACTGGCAGCAGCAGCAGCAGCAGTAAGTGTGTGTGTGCGAGGGTTTGGCTCCCTGTAATGGACATGTGCCTGTCATGTCGCCTTTGTCAGTGTCGTTGGGCGTGTGGGCGTGTCCTGTGCCATAAATTTATGCATGCAGTGCATAAATTTCAAATTAAAAGGGAGACGCCGCGCATCCTGCCAGCGACAAGTACACGTTTTGACACTTTACAACACTAGTGGGCTGTCCTGATGCCACCAACTACGCCAGCTTTCCCAGCCTGGCAAACTGATACCCGCAGTCTCAAACGTGGCCGACGACTGCCTTAACGCCCGCTTGCTGTCGGTGCCAACGGCGAAGAAGAAAGTGAGAGAGCCACAGAGGACCAGGGTGGACTCGGTCCTGATGTGGGCGTCAACGTCAGCGTCTCGGCAATCAGTGGCCATGTGTTTGAGGGTCCTTTGGCGAGCACAATGAAAGAAATCAAATGTTGTCTTTGGCCTGGCCCCGTTGTCTTAAGTGCTTTCGAGCTCAACATCAGTTGCATATTATGCGCTCTAATTGATTTCCCCGGAAACGCTCGACCACAAGGAGTGGTCCGCTGACTGGACCAAGTACGCACTCGCAAATCTGTAAACCTTTTACGCTGATTTTTCATTATGAGAGCAACTGCTATCTGCATCCTCTGGGGAGTCTCTCACTCGCGCGCTGAATATCCCAACGAAAAATTTATGGCTGTCACAATTTTTAATTATGTTGCTTATACGCTTGGCATTGCGATATTGAAACCACAAAGGTATCATAAATTGCCCGGACTGACTGAAAACCCACAGAGAACGAGAGATAAGTAACAAAAAAAAAATGCAGGCAAGTAGACAACAAAAGGTGGCCCGGAAAGTGGTGAATGGCCGCTGAAATGCCAGGCATTGGCCAGCAGCTCAAGTTTTTTGTCGAAACTAAAATTTGCTCATTAAGACCGCAACAAAAGGAACTGATCCTTTTTGTTTTTCCTTTTTAAGATAAATGTAACAAAGACAAATGCGTTCATTTTACCGTGTTGTTCTCTGCGCTTCATTTGCCTTGCCATTCGCTGCCCTACACCCTTGCCAATGAACTGATAGCGGTTGCAACAAACTGCGGTTGCTTATTATGAGTTCCAAATGCGATAGAGTTGATGGGGTTGCAAGAGGGGGGGTGTGTGCAGCACTTGTAATGAGCTATTCGAGCGCGTGAATCTGCTGCTCGTATATATTATTGCCACTTTGATGAGCAGCTGCCAACAATTCTAACCTATATTTTTTCAAATGCCGCCGTTGCACATTTTGCAACGCCTTTGTAATTTGCAAAAAATATAATATGAAGGGTTGGTTGCCAGTTTTGTTGTTACTGTTGCAGTTCGCAAGTTGCCGCTGCAAGTTGCCGCTGCAAGTTGCATGCACCCAGTCATTAGTGAGCAAATGTGGCACGATATGTGCAGCGCTTACTTCATGGCTTTTAGAGCACCAACTAATTGCAGTCGGGCAGCAGTCAAAGCAAAAGTAGAAGCAAAAGTAGAAGCAGAAGCAGCAGCAGAAGCAGCAGCCAGCTCCGTGCTCAGTGAGCGGCATGTGAGTGCCGTGCAAATACGCTTAAGACAATTTAGTAAATATGAAACACAAGGCATGGACACACAGAAGGGGTAGTTGCTGCGGGGTCTGGTTGCTGCCCAAACAAACATTTCCGTAAATTACACGCATTTGTCAAAACGAAACAATGCGCAAAGTGTTTATTTGTTTTAGTGAGTGCTTTTGAGCGCAAAAATGACTCAACACAAAAACTGCAGTTAGAACGCAGACAGACACAACAACGCCCCAACCAGTCCTTCTTGTGGGCTGTTGTCTGTCTGCCTGTCTCTCTGTCTGTCTGTTATATAGTGAAAATGTAGCAACTTCTAATGGGTTTGCTTGTTGTTGAGATCATTGTTGTTGTTGCTGTTGCAGTCCCTGTTGCAGTCATGCGCGAAATGTAGAGCAGCGATTATGCAACCACATGCAATGACAATGCAGCATCGATCCGGGCTATAGCCACACAACATATCCACACACACACACACACACATAGAGGCCGGGGCACACATTGCGCGCTCCACGTGGCGTATGTGCAATTTGTTATTTTCATTAACGCCTAAAAGCAGCAATTAGTTTTTTTTTCCCCCTCATTTCGTAGTTAGATTTTTTGCTACTCTTTCGGTTGCTTTGTGCTGTGTGCACCACTGAGCAATGCATTGAATTAAATAGCAGTTTTTGCACCAGAAACACATAACAAAGGCACAGAATGACCATGTGAAATGTACCGAATGACACCAGCTTCATTTTGACCAACTCCAGAGTTAATAAAGACGGGCAACAGCCATAAAATGCTATTATACTGAGTAGAGTAGTGCGAGAATTATATGAACTTAAGCTCTTATGGGACTTTGGCTTAAAGTCCACAGTCAGCTTAAATGTAATTAAGCTATGCACTTTTGCTTGATTTAGGCTGACATGAACTTTAATAGTTCTTACCGTAAATTTTCGTAAGCTGTGATAGAGTAGAATATTCAGAAATTACACGATGTGTTCACAAACATTTTGTGCATTTAGTTGTACATTTAGTTGCATATGCAAATCTTAGATACCAGAAAGTAAAGTGGCTTATAAAGTTGCTTGTGAGCGTGTTTGGCTAAGACTTTAGAATTTAAATATTAAAGATTTAATAGTTGCACAGCTATTCTTGCGTATTGAAATATGTTCAATAGCCAAATCAACAATAGCCAGATTAGTAATTAAATAAACACTGCTGGAAGATATTAAAACTATTACTTATTACATCCACTTAGGTTTTCTAATTGTGTATTAAATTAAATTAAGTATTTATTATTACTTGTCTCACTTTGTTTGTTTCAGCAATTAATTGTATCACACATGATTTAACTTGCCTTTCAAAGCTTAATTAAATATTCAAGTGCTTTTTTTCAAGTAGTGCCATTAGCTTTAAATCATGTGCTGAAAGATATAGTTGCAGCATTCAAGGACCACTTTTACTTAATACTGGTAAATATGTAGTGGCACATAAGAGGCTTGGACTAAAAAGCATGTACAAATTTATGGCCAGCAATTAAAGCTGCAGCAGCA